AGAAGCTAGTGACACCACAGTGACAAATGTGAATCCCAAAGTACTCAGGGTCCCTTGATGCCCCTGATGAAAGGAAAATATCTATATCAACGGCTCACTGTACCTCATCCTTCGTGCCGACACACAACTGAGTAAATGCAGCGCGGCGCTTTTTAGTCTCCGTGGCCTCTTGGCGGCATCTCGCCCGTTCGCCTGACGTGCTCGTCTCCGGTGCCGGCATCACTGCGTGTTTATGTCTGTTTAGGTTGTTTTACATCTTCCCTCTGCTCGCTATGGAGCCTGTGTCTTTCAACACCATATTTATTGTCGTTTGTGTTTCTCTCAGAGCATAAATGTCTCTTGTGTCTCTTAAAGAATTGACTTTAAAATCGTATCTGTTGGTTTTATAAAACCCCGAACGGTTTAGGGTCAAAGTACATTTCTGATCTGCTGCTACCTCGCCAACCATGTCGGCCAATCAGGACGTCAGGGACGGGTCTCCTCTCTGTTTCCAGAGTCACAACCAAACATGGAGAAGCAGCGTTTAGTTTTTCTGCTCCAAATATCTGGAGAAACTCCCAAAAGGCTGCAGGTCTGCTGAGACTCGACATAGACTTTTCTATTTCGAGCCGCCTTTAATTTACTATCTACTACTGTATTTTATTTCTTAAACTGCAACCCAACATTTATTCAGTTTTTATCTTTGTTTATTATTTTAATGTTCCAATCAAATGTTTTTAATTGTTTTTTTCGCCGTACGCCTCGATGCTTCCATCGGTTTCACGTGAAGCGCGTTGAATCGCCTCGTTGTTAAAATGCGCCGTACAGATAAACTTGCCTCGTCTAACGCAAATCTCTCCCGACTCCCCCCCTCTCAGTTGGTTCTTGCAGAGAGTTCCCACTCGGATGGAGGATCTCAGTGCACAGAGAGCCATCCAGAGCTGCCCCCTCCTCTAGAGAGAACAGGGGGCATAGGAGACTCCCGGCCCCCCTCCTTCCAGTAAGTGGGCCGATTACTGACCGTCGCGCATGCACAATTTCACCCACACGTACACAGACATGTAGGCGGATTCATTCAAGCCCGCCTCCCGGCGCACTGGCTCGCCCCTTCTGATTTCACGCCGCGCCGTACGAGCTAATTAGCAGCGCGGAAAGCTCATCACAGAGGTTCGTGGTCACCGGCCCGTGCGTGAGGTGCAGGTGGTCCGTGCACGCCTGTGTGTGAATACGGGCACGTACGTAAGTATGTGCTGAGGCTTCCAGGATGCGGGATCATGCACGGGTGGGAGTTTTTCTCCCTCGCGCGCCCGCTTGTGTGCGTTCCCTCCCGCCCACTCCCGACCACGGAGCGAGGCGCTCATCGATGTAAACATGACGCGGATGCCCGCCGGTGCTGCTGATTCTGGAAATAGCCTTTTCGCGGCACGAATATCTTCAGGCAAATACTTGCACTCAGCGAGGCCCGTTATGTTCGGTCTCTCCGAGCACACGTGTGGCCCAAACACACACACACACACACACGTTGAAAGCTCAGGAATGAAGATTCTCCCCCGTTCGGCCCGGTGACGATTACCTGAGCCCAGACTTTGACCCCAAACGGCCAGAACGGAGGATATCGCTGCACTCGCTGAGGAGAAGTCCCTAGCTAAATATAGCCAGAAGGGCTGGGGGGCAGTGGGGGCCGGGGTTGTTGCCGCTACAGCGCGGGAGCAATATGGCCCAGGCTCTATATTGAGAACATGCAATCTGTCATGTCTCAGTGTATCTCTTTATCCAGTGTTTGACATCTCGGCTCCCTTTCGCCCCCTATGGGCCGTCTCCCCCGCTGTTCGCCTGTCAGCTGCCCTGATGGTTTTATTGTTCCCGGGGCGGCTTTCACCCAGGACTACCGCCACCTTGTGGAGTAAGACGTCGGTGTCCGGGCCTTCCTCACCCACGCCATGCCCCCCCCCCTCCTTTACTCTCCCTTTCTTATCCCCCTGTATTAGCCGGACAGACGGGCCTTTCTTTTAGAGAACCAGCGTGGTGGCGACTTCCCGATAGCAAACCTCTCGTTCTGAAATGAATCCAGTCCTCAGCCTTTTGCTTCTGTCCGTAAACAGCTAGAATATTATTACCACTTCATTTTCTCTTGTGATTTATTCATGCGTTTCATGTGTTTGTCGGCGTGAATGGCTCCATTTGATGTGCGCACAGAATAGGTGTTTTGGGCTGCGAATGCACACCAGCGATGTGCTTCTGCCTGGTAATCCGGATTAACGGACATTAAAAGCCACCGTCTCCATTTCCCAGGAGGGAGGGGGGGGGGGCGGCGATGGGCAGCAGAGAGGAGCCAGGCCGGGGGGGGGGGGGGGTTGAAAAGAGGTGGCATTCGTTCACAGCTGCAGCGCCGCGCCCTGGATAATCCCTGTCCCCCCCCGGCCCGGATCAGCAGCCCGCCGCCTGGCTGGTCAGACTGGCAGCCGCAGCCACATCAACCAGCACACCGTTGGCCTGCAGCCCGTGTTGGTGCAGCCCGGCCCAGGTGCACCCATTAGCACCTGGAGGCAGAAGTGTGTACGCACGCCTCATTGAGCCCCGCATCCCGCTGGGCGAACGCCGCAGACACGGCACCTTGTTTGCTTTTTTAATGTGCATTGATCCTTTGCAACATCGCCAGTGAGCGCTGTGCGGACTTTTGAGCCGGCGCCGGGTGACGTTTGTGTTTTATTTTCCTTTTGTGTGTGTGTGACAACACGAACACGGCACAGCATTTCTAATTGAGCCGTTTCAGCGTGCGTGAACGCACGCCCTGTGGCAGCGCGACAGCGTGATTATTTATGAATGGTGTCGAGTGCTCGTCGCACATCAGCCTAAGTGTGTGTGACGGACTGACAGGGCTTGAGTAGAGTTCTCACCAGCTTCAGGTTTCTCTCTCTCTCAACCCGGCGGCGGTGTCGGCCCCTTGACCCCTGGTGCCGGAGGCCACAGAGTCTCTGAGAATAACAGACCGCCCTCCAGCCCCTTCAGAGCCCCCAGACTCCTCCCACAGGCCGGCTCATTGCTCGGCCCACACCTGATCTGCAGCTTCTTGCTTTTTTTTAAATGCAATCTGTCATTCTCCTCTGTCTGTCTGTCTGTCTGTCTGTGTGTCTCCCGATCAAACTCCAGGCACCATCTGGGCTTTCAATGGGTCTCATTAATGCCGGCATTGTCCAGGATGGCTCCCTCTCAGGGTATCTGGTCATTAATGACACTTAGTGAAAAACACATCACATACCATAGAACAATGAGACTGCTATTTCGGCCCGAGGGATTGAATTGGAAACAGAGTGATAATATGAGTTGGTTATTCCCCTGAGGCTGAATGGCAGGCAAACCGATATCATAACAGACAGGCGTGCATTGTAGCCGGGGATTATGTTCAGGAGTTTTGGTCGCAGGCTGGCTGGAGAATTAATTTGAACGATTTTTCTTTCGAGGGAGACAGAGGGAGTGTGCGCGTCTTTGTGCACATCGTTATGAATCTGACTGATGTTTTCCGATGTATGTATTGTAGCGCCAATGCGGTGAGCAGCCGCGATGGCCTGGACACCGAGACGGGAACGGAGTCCCTCCTGAGCCACCGCAGAGAGCGAGAGAGAGAGCGGGCGCGGAGGAGAGCCAGAGAAACTGAGCGTGAGTATCGGAACGGACGGAGGCAAAAAAATCCAATTACGTTGTCATTTTTTCTTGTCATTGCGTTTTGTTGCCTCCTACAGCACTTCACTTCCCTTCAAAACTAAGCTAACAGACAGCAGGCACGTATGAAAAGAGGCTCCATGGGATCACATGACCCAGCACAGATATTTAAATCCTCAGAGGAGTGAAGAAAGCGCCGGGTGAATAAGTTCACTGTTTGGCAAACGGGATGTTTTTGGTCAGAGGCTGTTTTCCACTCGGTCACTCTGACACTTTTTTAATTATACCCTGTCGACAGACACCAGCGTTTTGGGAAATATCACAGGAAAGTCTGTGATTTCTATTGAAATCGCTTATTTGAGACAAACAAACTACTCTGCTTCAGACTCCACCAGCCAACGTCGCATACCAATATTTTTGGCGAAATTAGTGCTTTTTTTGTGGGCAATGAGGTTTCAAACTTTGCTGTTGTTAAAGCCAACTCTCTCTAACCTCCTTTCCCCTGTCCTCCCCTGTCTCTTCGTATCCTGCACAAAATCCATAATCGGTTACGTAATTAGTTACGCAGCGCGAGGTTCAGGCCTTAGTAACGGCCTTTTTAATCCGAATCTGTCACCCTCGTGTATTTCGTGGCAGTGTTTCACTCGATTCCAGACATATTGTTGGCGACCTCCGTGTCGGATCCACTGCTGCTGACTCCCAAACTGCACGTCCGCTGTTTCCTGGCCGACGCGGAAATACTTCGGAGACTAATGAACTTTACATCTGTCCCCATTCCCCTGTTGTGCAGACTGACCTAAAAAGACGTAACAGTGCGGGAGCACGTGTGGCTAATGAGCTTCATTTTGGGTGTAGCCAGCTTTGTGGTCGCTCTTCCATCGCTCGGTTGTACGGAAGGAGCCGGTAGCCCCGCTTTAGTTTTCTTTGCAGCCTGCAGCATCAGCAGGAATTCCCCCGTCACCTTATACGCACAAACGCTTCAAGGGATTTTGTCACAGATTGAATGCCGGCTGTTTGACAGTGACGGGTGAACGTTTGCAGCCCTGGGAAACAGCGTTCGAGAATAAACAAATGAATAATACAGCGGTTGGACATTTTAGTATGGTTAACAGGTGCTGGATGAAGTTACGATCTGTTTCAACGCCGCCAGCTGCTCTGCATCTTAACCCGACTTTTAATGCGCAGTTACTAGATTGTAGCAGAGAACATGTAATACCCTGAACCAGTTTAATGCTGTTCAGCAGTGCTGGGATTTCAGGGTTGAGGTCAAAGACGACACGGCTAAGCCAAAGCACTCACGCTCGTATGAAAGTATTAACACAAAGCACAAAAACATCTGTCGCAACTGTCGGCGCATGTGCTTCTAACAACCCGATGGCGCTTTCACACCGAGGCAGAGGTGGGACTCGACAGCACACCGTCTTAAGTCCCTCAGTGTGTCCGTTTGGGAGAATACCGTCGTCTGATTGGAGGGAGGCGGATTAGCTGTCATTCTATAGTTGCCATCTATTGAAGGGCGGGAGGAGGCAGTCGTTTCCCCCCCCGACTCTCAGCTCAGTTTCTCTGTGCGTCGGATGGAGGCTCACTGTCTACACTGGCTGTGGTGAGAGAGATTTGTTGTTATCTCTGATGATGAGATCTAATGTTTGAATATGTTTAATGTAGGTATTTGTTTTCCATCGCTTGAATGGGAAAGTGCTCTAGTAGAGTTATATATATATAGAGTTTATTGTTATTTATACGGTACTGTTAACCCAGTCCCGCATTTACTTTATCCTGTGCATTATTCATTGATTTAGGGATCATAATTCATTAAAACAAACTTGTATGCGATTCGTTAATACCATATTATCTTTTTAAAATGTCTCTATTCCCAAAAATTGCCTTGCTCACCTCTTGTTTTCGGACTCCCCGCTCTCTCCGCAGAGCACCTTCACGCTCATTCCCCTCCGCTGTAGACGAGCCGCGACGCCTGTCAGCGGCCAGCCGGCGGGTGAAGAGCGTCTGGGCCGAGTTTTAGAGACGGCGCAGAGCTCAGTCTGGCTCGGCCAACCCGCACGCTTGTTTTCCTGTTTGGTTTCCCCCTGGTGTGACAGTCATCTGAGCGTGGGAGGACACATGTTTGTGTGATCTTGACAGTGGATGTCATGTCCGTCCGCCGATCGAGCGCCTGCGTGCGGTAGCTCGGCTGTCCCAGGAGCAGCCTGTGGGTGGAGAGAGAGAGAGAGCGATGGGAACATCCACGTTGCTGGAATGTTTCGCTCGCTCGCGGCCAATGCGTTGGCTGCCGCGCCCTCTTCGCCTAATGAGACCTTTCCGGCCAATCCGCTGTCACCCTGAGGCAGCCCCGCCCCGCCGGCAATGTGCGTATGGAAATGGGCACGGCGGTTAAGTACACTCCTGTGAATTTTTAGAGCGCATTAAGACATATATTAAGGGATATTTTTTTCCCAATTGTGCCACTCGTAGTGACTGCGTCTTCCCTCCGTTCCCGGTCCGTCCCTCTCGTTGTGATCTGACCCCCGCGATGAGCCACGCGACCTCCAGTCTGACTCACTGCCGCTCTGCTCCTTCCCTCTCCAGTCCCTCGCATCAACGGTCACTCGAAATCAGAGCGCACCGCCAGGGACTCGGCCATGGGTTACGACAGCGCCTCGGTGATGAGCAGCGAGTTGGAGTCCAGCTCGTTCGTTGACAGCGAGGAAGACGAGAACGCGAGCAGGTAACAAAATACTTCTCCTCCTTTCCTTCCGCTCCATGCAGACTCTCAGATCAGAAGCTTTCTGTTTTATACATATATATAATTATAATAAAACATCATTAGGAACTATATATTTATATTTATAAGGCAACATAAAGAAGTTGTAACTTCAGCTTAAGTGACAATTGATTTGTTCTGTTTCTTTGTAAGTTTATTGTACTGCAAATGTGTATTTAGCTTAATTTTGTTAGTTAAATGTACACCGTTTTACAATGTAAACACGTTTTTTGTTAACGTTTCAGGTCTTTTCAGTGCTGTACCCATAGTTATATACGTACTCACCACTACTTACCGTGTACATTTTTCTCCCCCCCACCCCCACATCTCTATTTCCCCTCTCTCCTACTGTGTTTGAGGCTCAGTAGCTCCACAGAACAAAGTTCTTCTTCACAGCTCATGCGCAGACACAAGCGGCGACGGCGGAGACACAAAGTGGCCAAAATAGACCGGGTGAGCGCCTCAAAGACACATCACACGCATATATCCTGGCGAAATTGATGTAGACATTAAGCATAACAAACAGATGAGAGGGCTGATGTATTTTGACTATTTCTGATGAGTTTGTCCTCCTCCTGCCTTTCCAGTCTTCGTCTTTCAGCAGCATCACAGACTCCACCATGAGCCTCAACATCATCACCGTCACGCTCAACATGGGTGAACCTGACACTTCCATAGCTACGATTCCATTTTATTTACATGGATATGTATCGACACATACATTTGAATGTAAAAGCATGTCTATAATACGTTTTTTTAAAGCCCTAATACTGTGTGTTCCGTGCTTTCTCCCGCACAGAGAAATACAACTTTCTCGGTATCAGTATTGTGGGTCAAAGTAACGACCGAGGAGACGGCGGCATCTACATCGGCTCCATAATGAAAGGCGGCGCAGTGGCTGCTGATGGGAGAATAGAACCTGGAGATATGCTCCTTCAGGTACTTCAGATTTTCTTAAGAAGTGTTATTGAACTTTCAGAGTTTTCATCAAGATACATGTTTGCGATGAATGTTGTTGTTTTGGAGTAGTTAGAACACCTCTGTGTTCTTTGTACAGACAAGTCGAGTCAATCCTATGTATTAAAAATGGACGTCTTTGGCCTTTACTATCAGCACAGCATATGAGACCCTCTGTTCATGTCCCTTGATTTGGATTAGGACAGACGGATGTGCGACAGACGCTGTGTGTACAGAATAGACAATCCGTATGACACAAAGGATACATAACAAGGGAACAATTGATCAAGAAAATGGATCGAGTGGGATGCTGAGCAGCTTCCAGGTGTTATCTAGAGCCCGAGCCCAACAACCTCCATTACAGCATGTCGCCTGGAAGAGAAAGGACGGGCTACGTAAACACACAAGAAGCAAACTGGAAGCACATCATTCACTAGGATGGGACGTTAATAACCACAATGTTGCATTCCCTTCCGTTACCAGCCTCTTTTGTAGAAGTTGTAATTCTGCCTCTCCTTTTCCTTCCTGCTGATGCCTCTGTTTTGAGCTCCGCGCTCTACAGCGACTCCCTCTAGAAAAGAGTTACGGCCATTGTTGCCTCAACATTCACAAAATAGGTTTCATTATGAATGTGTATCCGATCAAAAGCAGTTTAGGAAGAACACAGCGGAGATGAATGTGCCCAGTAGAGTGCATCGATTCTGCGTAGCTTCACAAATCGTATTTGCCGCTGGATTGCCTCTTTATGTCATGCATGTTGTTGTTTGCCCACCAGGTGAACGATGTAAACTTTGAGAACATGAGCAATGACGACGCAGTGAGGATCTTAAGAGAGATTGTTTCCAAAACTGGGTAAGAAAACACAACTTGCTCGGACCAACAACTACTGAGCGTTGTGATGCTTCACTTCTCTGCTACAGAAGATTATCACATCGAGGGCAGAAGTAACTGTAGGTCGAGGGTAATCTTACACCAACTAACTAGTTAATCTCATTATTCTTTGTTACTTTTCCATAAGACCTTTATGAGCTGCTATTGGCTACTTTCCTGCATCAATGTCCTGCTCTTAATGTAGTTTAGAGCAAGCTTTTGTAGTACATGGCACACTCTTGATACTGGGCAGAGACACACGGATTAGCATATGGTGTCGGTAGGTGATTTGTAGCGATGATCTTTAATTGTTTATCTATTTGCCTTTTCTCCAGTCCCATTAGTCTTACTGTTGCCAAATGCTGGGACCCGTCTCCACGGAGTTACTTCACGATCCCTCGTGGTAAGACGAACCCCGGTACTATTTTACAATCACATCAAAAACCTTTATTACCTCCATAGCAAATTGATGTTAGAACAGATGTTTTTAACTAATCTGGAGAACTATATACCAACGTCTCTGAGGAGGCTGAACTGTATGTTTGACCTTATTTGTTCAGCTGAGCCAGTGAGACCCATTGACCCAGCAGCCTGGATTTCACACACCACCGCCCTGACGGGACCTTACCCGCACTATGGTAAAAACAACCAACCATCACCTGCAACACACTCTATGAAGCATCCATTCTGTGGTAATTATGATAACCTTACAACATTTAAACATTTGAAAATGTCCTTTTGTCAATATTTCTCTGACTCCTCTCCCATGCCAGAGTTTGACGACTTGCCTCTGTCTGCAAGTAAAACAGACATGGCAACCGTCGTCAAGGTGATGCAGTTGCCCGACTCTGGGCTGGAGATCCGGGACAGGATGTGGTTGAAGATCACCATCGCCAATGCCGTCATTGGTGAGAAAAGTTTTCATGTGAAATCTAAAACCGGTTTCTGAAAAAAATGTAAAACTTTAAATCCCACCAGTTTTCCTCAAATATATCAATTATTTTCTTTGAGAAACTTTAATGTAATCAAGTTATTCTCGGCAAAATCAAATCAATGTCTGAGGCCTAAAAGGTATCGTTTTGACATGAACAACACCAACTTTATTCAAGGCTCTATTGTCTGTATTGTGCTGCTTGCTGAGCATGTCGGCCCGTTTGTTGCTGTGTCAGGTGCTGACGTGGTGGACTGGCTCTACTCCAGAGTCGAGGGATTCAAGGACCGGCGGGACGCGAGGAAGTACGCCAGCAGTCTGCTGAAACACGGCTACCTGAGACACACCGTCAACAAGATCACCTTCTCCGAGCAGTGCTACTACACCTTCGGAGACCTCTGCCAAAGTACGGCCCCTCGGTGTCCCTCAGTGTCGCCCCGGGAAACCAGCTGTGTGAGGTTCATTCATTAACAGAGTGGCTGCACTAAACCTTCTGCTGTTTCCCCATCAGACATGGCGTCGCTTAACTTAAACGAGGGATCCAGCGGCGGAGGCTCGGAGCAGGACACCCTGGCACCGCTGCCTCCCACGACCAACCCCTGGCCTCTGGGCGGGCAGCCGTTCCCCTACCCTCCCTTTCCCTCTGCACCCCCCAGCTTCCCCCCGGGATACTCAGACCCATGCCACAGTTTCCACAGTGGGAGCGCAGGCAGCCAGCACAGCGAGGGTGAGCAACAAAAAAAAAAAGGAGAGAAAGCTTTTTTTTTTCCATGAGGCTTTAATTAACGTGGCAATTTGACTCAACGCGCAACGTGACATTTTTTCCCCCCAATCTAATTCTTCCTGACATATGACGTCAGTATTCACACGTGTCCCCGCGCTCTTGCTAATTCTATCCGTTCTGCCTCACGGGCGGAAAGTTGACATTGGATTGCATCTTTATCAATCAAATATGTGTGTTCTAAAACGCATCCTGTATTGTCAAGGTCAATCATGAGCATCCTGAGTCACGCAGCGGACAGCTCTGCAGTACTGGGTGTGTACACACGAGCGAATCTGATCAAGCACAATTACCAATCACCGGCTTGAAATGATCAACACCGAGGCCATCCCTCATCCGGGCCGGATTGATCTTTTGTTCCATTTTGAATCAGAACGTTGCTTTGTGTTGCTTCTGCATGGTTTTGGATGTCTGCGTTGAAGGGGAGTGGAGAACCGGGGGGGGGGGGGGGGGGGGTGTACATGGGTGGATGGCTCTGATGGCGTGGTTGTGACACATTTCAAAACCAGGCGATCGAACATGTCACCATGCATCATTTTTTTTAATGATTCATCCAGACATCATCAGGTCTTGTTCTCGCCGGTTGTCACTCAGCTTAGTTGGTTCATCAGAAACCTTTGATACGTCGAAGAGAAGGAGATGACAGATAAGTATAGCTGTGTGATGTAATTTATACGTAGTTTTCTGTCTTTTGGCACTTGTTGGCCTACTAGTTTGAAAAAGTGCATGTGTTCTCCATAACTTGAACAGATATTTTTAGTCAGATGACAAGGAAAATACCCAAAACAGCCACGGGTGCACCATTAGGTGCGTCCATAAGGGACAGACGCACAGTATTAGGGTACATCGGGTAGTGGGCTGGGCTGGGTGGTGTGTGTAATTCTATTGTTCCCTCTGTTTCTGCTGGGCAACGGTAGACTGAAGGAGGAGGTAGTCCCAGGACACTGGGGGAACCGGTAAGCCCGCCAAAACCCCTCCACTCCTTTGCTCCTCTCTCTATCCCATCCATCAATCTCTTCATCTTGTTCTTTTCCTCTTCTGTCCTTTTTTTTGTTTGTGTGTACCCTGTGTGTGTGTGTGACTCTCCCTCACAGTCCATTCTCCCTCTCTCTGCACCTCGGGGCATGCATTCACGCCGGGCTGGGAGGTGCATGATGCAGGACGGTCGCTCTGAGGCTTGTGCTCACAGACAGGGGGCGATCATGCACCACTTTACCCAGTACTGTGGGGCTCATTGCGGAAGGACTGGCGAGGAATGTTTGACTTTGCGACATCGCGGTGCACCTCTTTCAGGATGACGCCAGTAGTGTGCATTCACAGCATTGAGACATTTTTAAAACACTATTGACAAAGTTGATATCCTTTAAAACAAATATGTATTGTTAATCTGTAAGTGCTGTGTGGTGGTGTCTTTCTGATTCAGGTGTATCATGTTTTCATTCATAGTCAGCGATGTTTGGGGTTTTGTATGAATAATTGATAAAGGTCACGGCATTAGTTGCTGCAGGTACAACGTGGGAAAGAAACCTTTGAGATAAAGGCGTGTTGCCCTTTACTGGTGACTCTTGTCACACCTTTGAAAGAGTGCATTTAAGCATTTGATCGCATTAATGCATTTAATCGTGTAGTGCTCAAGAGGAGGTGTTTCATGTCATGTGATGGCTCATGTCCGTTGCAGCTCATGAAGGCCAAATAGAGCTTGGTGATATGAAGTATTTTCTTTAATGTGTGAGGTTCTGCTCCGGTGTAAATCAGTACCTCGTAGGTCTGAGCTGCTGACTCTTACTATAAATGATTATTCTGTGGTGAACCGCAGAAGGCCGTGCTTCAATTTCCTCCTTTTCTTTCCTTATCAGCAAGCCGAAGCAGTGGATCCAACCCCAGCGCGGGCAAAGGCAGACGCTCCTCTCCGCAGGAGAAGGGTCAAAGGTCAACATGCAGCGAATCAGAGCCACGCGTTCGTGGAGGGAGGCGCGGCGAGAGGTCCGCCAGCCAAATGAGCCATCACAGCCACGCCGTCTCCAGCCACAGCCACGCCCGGTCGAGCCTCAGTCACAGTCAGTCACACAGGAGTCACTCACAGAACAGCCACCCCTCCTTCGTCCACAGCCACGCCCCCTTCGCCCAGCCGGGGCCGGGCTCGTGCGCCCACAGCGAGCGGAGCCACGCCTCCTCCTACGGCCCCCCGGGCCTGCCCCCTCCTTATTGTCTGGCCCGTCTGGCGCCCAAGACGTCAGTCAGCAGCACCACGCCCCCCGGAGCCCCCCCTGGGAGGGAGTTAGCGTCCGTTCCTCCCGAACTCACCGCCAGTCGCCAGTCCTTCCAGCACGCCATGGGCAATCCCTGCGAGTTCTTCGTTGACATCATGTGACAGGACAGTGCCTTCAAAACGCATCAAGCACAAAACCTCCTCAAAACCCACCCGGGCCCTTTCGCTCCTTCCCCTCAACCTTTTTTTGACCATCTCGTCTGTCCCGCGAGGCCCTGCAGGAGCACGCCGGGGAGGGGGGGGGGCAGGGGGAGGTGCGACGCCTCTCACGCACACACGAACAGACCCTCGGTGGTGGAAACCCCTCTTTTTGTATTGACGTGACGTTGTGCCGTTTGTGAAACGTGAGTGGTATTGTGGTGATTCTTTAAATCTGCCACGCAGACATTCCCGGGAGTGTGTGCTGTTACCTGGGGATGTTTTCTCTTTAAGCTACTGGGCCTGAATCTCAATCGCCCCCCGGACGCCGGCCGACACCCACAGCCCCGCACTTAGGAACACTTCTATGGGCCTAGAACCTGGAATTCCTTTACTGACTCAAATCTAGCTTGTTGCACCAGACCTCCGGCCCCAGTTTCATGGCCTATTTGAGCGGCCAAGCCACTAAAACGTTCACCTCGGTCAGTGCACAGTCCATGGCCGTCTGCAGCTCCATCAGCGATGGGGTGTAGGCGGCCATCGGTCCAACTAGGCTGCACATTGCATGACTTTCTCCACTGCGTTAAGGAAAGGAAACGTACTAATACATTTTGTTTTAAAGTATTACTGTTGTATGGGGAAGGGGGTTACCTCTTGTTCCGCCAATGTTCAAGACTCAAGTACACTGGATGATTTCTGTGACGTTATTTATGTGATCATGTTTTTGCGTTGATGGTGTCATACGTTGTCTACCGAGGCCGACTGACCGACAATCAAACATCGCTTATTGTGATTGAGTGGCCAATTTCCACTGTCCTAGCTGTGCTCTGTGGAATGTATCATTAATCAGTGATTAAACCCTGACGTTCGTACCACTTAAAAAGATCTAAATAAGCAAAGCGACTTACAGACAGGACATCCCCCCCCAGTGGTGAAAAGCATCTCAAACCAGTGGCTCAAAGCACCGTGACATTTCTCAGTTTGAACTTTAAACTGACTTCAGGGGGAATCCTGGCTTTCAGATTCTCCTTGCAGAATAATGGCAACCCCCCCCATGCCCCCCCTCGTTGTAGCTCTTGGTAACAAGTAACAAGAGGGAAATAACACACAAATATTAGTTTTGTGAGCACTTTTCCATTTTTTTCTCTCCCTCCCTTTAGTATGAAACACTGTTTGCAATCAAAGCTTTCTCTTCAATTTTGTTTCTTTACAGAAAAAAAAGAGTAAATTGTACATAGAAATTTATTATATATATAAATAAAAAATATATATGTTCAACATGATGTCTAGTTTTTGCAATGATAATCCACATCCAGGCCCACTAGAGGGAGGCATTCAATGTGTGAACCTCACACATTGAATGCGTGAGATATATATTTATTTTGTTTACGCATTCCAACAACTTACACACATTACATTATTATTAATTATTAACTCGACACAATCGAGAAGGTCTCTCAAGACACGACGACTACGAACGAAAAAAAAAGCAACAACTGTAAAGAGGCATGAAATCCTCATAACCCCAGACGTGTTAGCCGCAGCCCGTCGAGTTGACACCCCGGGGTGGAACTTCTCAGCACCGCGCGGCGGCTGCGTACTTTCCCCGTGGGCTCAAACGCACCAAGCCTCCCACCCCTCACCCCCCCCCCACGCACACAGACCCCAGAGTCAGCTTGACCGGCCAAACGCGCACACCCCGGGGAGGCTGTTGTTTCGAGTGACGTCACGCTTCCCCTCCCCCGCTTGTGAGAACGCCTCTCGGGGAGGAAATGACGTCAGAGGCTTGGCATGAAGGGGGGTGGCGGCGCGCACGTAGGGAGACCGCGGTGGTCCCGCGTGCTCGCTGGCACGACGCTCACAACTAAAACATCTAGAAAACGTCTTTTTGACGCTTATGTCGCTCACTGATTTGCACTTTGTGCAGACCCACACGCACGCGCGCCGGTTTACCGGCAGAGTACCAGCACGTCTCTGTTTAATGGACAACTCTGTTTCCCCAGTCACTATGTTAATTGAGCTCCCGGGGTTTACTGCGCGCCGTTGCCGGATTCAGGAGGAGGTTTGAAGAGTAAGTGTGGGAGTCGTTTCTTGACCAAGCACGCGTGGGCACATGAGGCGCTGGCGCGTGACGTCAGTGCTCGACAACGTGTCCCTCGCAGTAGGCGAGCCTGCCAAAGGTCATCCATCAGCATCAAGCGCATGACGAGTTGTGTAATTTGGAAGCGTCTAAGAGGGATGATTGTCAAATGACTTGAGGGGACGGACGCGATCTCATCATTAATCAGCAAGTTTCTTGTTCTCCAGAAGATGAAGTGCTTACTGGGAGGGAAAGCGAGGTCACTTTGTGAAAGATATAAGCGCTTTGAACGCAATGAACTGCTCTTGGAATGCACACTCTGTTAATCATAAAACGATGGCGCCTCATGGAATGAAGCTTCTGGGGGAGGAAAAGAGACCCCCCACAAATCAGGAATCAGGAAACATTTATTACCAAAATATGCCAAACATACAAGGAATTTGTCTTAGCGAGACAAAGAGGCGAGGTCAAGGTTTGCTAAACTAAGCATCGCTTTCACTTTGAGTGCAGGTACGATATCTATCGCACTTCTGCCCATCCTGGGGAAGGAAACCCTCTTCTGGTTTCCTTTTCTTTTCTTCTCCCTGTTAAAAGGGGATTTTGGGGAATCAGGGGAAATACGGATCGCAGAATCCCAGGAAAGAGGATGTTGCATGTGTCCAGATTGTCCTTCAGGGGGTAATTTTATACAAAATTAATTTAATTTCATCAATAGATTATGGGAGAAGGGCGGCACGGTGGCGTGGTGGTTAGCACTGTCGCCTCACAGCAAGAAGGTCCTGGGTTCGATTCCGCCCAGTGGCCTTTCTGTGTGGAGTCTGCATGTTCTCCCCGTGTCTGCGTGGGTTCTCTCCGGGTTCTCCGGCTTCCTCCCACAGTCCAAAGACATGCTCTGGGGATCAGGTTGATTGGTGACTTTAAATTGCCCGTAGATGTGTGAATGTGAGTGTGAATGGGTGTGTGTCTCTGTGTTGCCCTGCGATTGGCTGGCGACCAATCCAGGATGTACCCTGTCTATCGCCCGAAGTTGGCTGGGATGGACTCCAGCCCCCCCGCGACCCTGTGTGCAGGATAAGCGGTTTGACAATGGATGGATGGATTATGGGAGACATTCTGTATTTCCTCACTGTCGCCTCACAGCAAGAAGGTCCTGGGTTCGATTCCGCCCAGTGGCCTTTCTGTGTGGAGTCTGCATGTTCTCCCCGGCTTCCTCCCAAAGACATGCTCTGGGGGCTTACTGGGGATCAGGTTAATTGGGGACTCTAAATTGCCCGTAGATGTGTGAATGGGAGTGTGAATGAAATATAAGAATTTCATAAAAAATGTGATACGGTTTTTAAAGGTTTCAGAGAAAATGTGTAGTGTGTAGTATGAAATAACAATTCACGAATAATGCCGTACTATAGCATGCCTTTAGTTTTCATAAATAATTAAGCAATTACAATATAACCTACATTTTAATAAATAATGTTATACTATAGTGTACCTTAATGGTCATAAATATGTGTTGGTAAAGTACACCACAAAAGAATCGTTTCATAAGATGCCCTAAAAATTGTTATGTAAAATGTTACAAAAGTACTATTACAGCATTACAAGTCATTGTAGGTCATTTTGTGATGACCTACAATGATTTTAAAACAAGCCACAACAAAAGGCTGGGCAACAAAATAGCTCTGTCATTCGTGAGTCACTAACAAACTAGACACGCCCCCCGGAGTATAAATCAACCTGCTCAGCTTGCTGAGTTGATTATGAGATGGAAAGCTCTCACAGCACAGCACAGGGAGATCTCTTCTTCTCTCTTTCATCTTCCCACCCTGCAACGTTAAAGCGGACTGGCTTTTGGTTAAGAAGAATGCTCACGTCTTACAGAATTAAGCTACAGACTTAGAGAGAAGAAAACAAAAACAAACAAATTTGTTCCCGGGGATACTTGTTGGACCTGGATCACCTTTCCCGAGGCACCTTTGTTGGCGTCAGCATGGCTGCAGTCTTCTGGACGATGGGTCTCTCTCTGCTCCTGCAGGGCTGTTTGTGGAGCGTTGGACAGACGGACACAGGCTGCATCCGGTGGACAGCAAGCGGGACCGACGTCTGCTGTCAGGCCTGCCATCCTGGTGAGTGACACATTACACATTATAGGTTTTAGTGTCTGGCGTGTTTTGTGTTTCTCAAACCTTTCAATATTTGTAAGCGCGTTCTACGTGGATGTCCAGTTATCCGTTATTAGAATTCACCCTCTTCGTAGGAAACCGCCTTGTGAAAGATTGTGGTCCACGGCCAAAAGAACTTTGTACCCCATGTGAACGCGGCGCATTTGTGGAGAAACCCAACATGTGTACCACGTGCACACGGTGCTTGGGTAAGTTGTCATATCTTGAAACCCATCTCAGGAGCAATCCCTCCAGTGGTGACGTTCTTTGACAACCCTCTTTGCACGTGCAGGTGCTCTTGTCGAAGTGGAAAAGTGCACGACCACTACGGACACAAAGTGTGGCTGCAAAGAGGGGCTCACCTGTGGGGACGACCGCTGCTCCTTCTGCGTGGATAAATGTGACAAAGGTCAGGAACCCACAGAGAAACGTAAGTATGACCTCATGACTTTAGTGCACACACACACACACACACACACACATTTACAGGTTATGTTTTTGGGGCAAACCAACTGAACGACTGTCTGCACAGGTTCTTGCAGACCATGTCCAGATGGAACCTTCAATGACCAAGTTCACCAGATGTGCAAACCGTGGAGTACTAAGTGAGATATTAGCCGCTCTAATATATATATATATATACACACACATACATACACAAGTACCGTTGCCATGTTTCATTGGTGTGCTGACTGACGGATTTGTCTCCTCGAAGGTGTCCCAATCCAGCGGAACACATCGTTGCCGGGGGAAACGCCCTCACCGACATCACGTGTGGCGTTTCACTCAGGCCGGCGAAAAGTCCAAAGCGACCTGGTAGGGCGTCATCCTGCGGCGCTTTAACTCGCGCGTCTATCCAAAGAGAAGCATTGACGTCTTGCTGTTTTCTGTCAGATCCCACAGAAGAAGCATGGCCTTTCGTCCTATCTATGGTAACCAGTCTGCTGCTGACGTCTTTCGGCACCGTCGTCATCATCACGATCATCATCATCAGCAGACGCAGAAGCAGAATTATGGCCAAGAAAGCCTTACAGAAAAGGGAGGAGGAAGAAGAAGAAAAAGGAAAGGCCATCCCACGGACACTGATAATCGATAGTCCTACAGGTAATTACCAACACACTGTCGGATTGTGATCACACCGTTTGTCAAAAAGCCCAAACGCAGTGAAAAGGTATTTGATCCGTCGTCTTTCTCCTCTTCAGATGATCCCAGGACATTGATAGCGATTGAGTGCAGCTTCCACGAGGCCGAGCAAGAGCAGGGCAGCAGCTCCGAGTCGCTGGCGTCCGACGACTCTGCCGAGCGGCTCATCGCGTGATGGGCAGAGTACCACACCAGAGTTCCCGGGGTTTTTACGTGGCATTCTCAGAAAAGTTAAACATCCCTCCAGAGCTGAAAGGAATACGCAGACAGGTCGGCACAAACTGCTTGCTCTGCGGTTACAAGGATGTAATTATAGTGATCTTTTGACGATAGCAAAAGGGGATTTTATCTGGAGGAAGACAAATGACAAGGACTTTCTATTGTATTCTTCTTGTGAAGTTTAACAGTAAATGGGGATGTGTTTTCATTTTCCTCTTTCGGTTAAGCTTGTTGCATGAGATAGAGACCTGTGGCGTCCTTTGTTTCCTTGTGCCAGCTGCCTTTTCGAACAAAGTAGTTGCATACTGCAGGTATGTTATGGAAGCATAACCAGACAGGTTTAGTCACGCCAGATGTGTAACCCACACTCGCCCCCAGATAAAAGTAATCACACCAGTGACTAACGGAGCTACCTTCCTCTTACTGCTCATGCTCGTACATGTGAAACCGTAGTTTCAGTACAGGGAGACAATAATATACATCCTGAATACTGATCATTATCATGTAGTTTAGTTTTTGTTTATGACCAATATTTAATTTATAGATATGTGCCAATAGAAGACAAGATAACAGCCTTATTACAGCCTACTGAACATCACCAGGAAGTATGAGGAACTTCCTAATACAGTGTGAAAAAGTCCGGGGGAGTTTTGACAAGTTTTACAATATGTCATGGGGAACTCTGCAGTAAATAATTCAAGGTAAATACACACACGCAAGCAGGGACGTGCCCTTTGAATGCAACACCGGATCCCCAATGAGACTGTGGAATGTTCATTACGATAAAACGTCAAACAAGATTAGTTACGAGCAGCTTATAGATCAGTAGAAAATCCCACGGTGCGTCACATTGGGAGTCCTTGATGTTGGTTTGTTTTTCAAGATTAGTCAAACTAAGGGTGCAGATAAAATAAGCCTTAACCGTGGGACATATGTCATACACGGTGGTCTATTATTGGAGGCGCGGAGCAGCTCACATCAAGGGTCATGTGGAAACCCCCCCCCCCCCATCACCCCAGATGGCTCCGTGCTCCGAAATGCTTCAGCTTATCTTCTAACACGACAGAGTGGGCAGCTCGATCTGACGTGAATGGAACGTCTCTCCTCAAACACGTCTTTTGTAAACTGCAGCGGGCGTACTCCTTGATTCTGAATGGAACATTTGACAGATGTTGGCCCAACGCTGTAGTAGTGTATCAGTATCTGAGAGTCATAGTGAGACCACAAAAGGTTCACAGTTACCACACTCTACGTCATTCAGTAATTTATCCACTGTAGCACTTTACATTACTGTTATCGGATTAACTTCTTCCGTTTGTTTCTTGTTAAGAAAAATGTTTTACAACACTTGTTTTTTACATTGTACTTTTCTAATAAAAAAAAAAAAACACCAATAAAATTTAAATTTTAAATTTTATTTGTTGCCCTTTCATGCTGAACAATTGCATTCATAGTGGTCCACCTGAGCAGTGGCATATTTAATTTGTATAATAAAAAAAACAATGTAGTGTATATGGCAATGTAGTAATTACAGATGGGAGTAATATGAATAAACAAATAATCCATTATTGTGTTAGAATACATATTCAATGTATAAATGAATAATATTAACAGACATAAGTACATAACTCACGTTGTAATGTCAACATTTATCAGATCTGCACGGACTAGTTTGAGCATAAAAGGTCCACTTTTAGAGTTTAAGAGTGGCGGTTTCATCACACGACCACAAGACGCAGTTTTAACCCCTAATAAGTGGATCTTTGACCTTCGATTAGTTTGAGATACACTGTCCGCAGAAAACATGGTAACATCTGGAATCTAAATATCACTAAACATAACGTGATTGTTGTAATTTGCTTTTCAAAAAGTTAAATTGATTGTCGTTGTACGGTCGCAAACATGGACAAGGCCGCGCCACACTTCCACGACACAAATTTGGCAGAGACTAAGAAAGAGGATGTCTTAAAGTAGCTTGTCCTTAAAAGCACGGGGTTATCGACTTGACTGTTTTTTTGTTATTTCGGCGGCTCTTTGGTGGCTGTTATTAGCTGTGAGGAATGACTACAGCGCTACTAAGCTCATCCAAAAACACGTGGTTACAGATGAGGGAGGGATGCAAAAAAATAAAGTACAAATATTGAAAAATATATTTTGTATGATTAACACTGAATAATTCTAACAAGACTTTCTACATTTCCCTTTGAAAGCTGGACAAGGCACGAGTCCAAAGTGTCGTTATTTGCATATTTTGTAAAATGTCACTCTCTCAAATCTTTCTCTGATCCACTGGTCTAAAGTGCTGGTTGGGTGGCTGGTAGATACCTTCAACCTTAAACAGTAAAAAACAAACAAACTTAAATACATATATATAAAAATGCACTCTAACAGCATGTGTGAAATTATTGATGCTTGCAATTGTCCTTCTTTTTAGATTTAACTCGCCCGGATTTGTCCGTTTTCCGTTTTGTGGGGGGAATGAAAGTCGCCTCCTCGAGTAAGTCGTTCAAGCCAGTTTGAGGCATTGGGAGTGACTGACAGGTTGTACCTATATTGGAGGAAATAGATTGTGAGTGTCCACTCATTGGGATGCAGGTCTCCTTTAAATTGATTTTTTTTTTTAAACCATCATCTGCCGTTTACGGTACCTTCTGCCCCCCCCCCGAAGCCCTCTGTGCTCGGCCTCTCGCCTTGGAAGGTCGGGTCCAGCTCCTCCGCAATGTTTCGGAACTGCTGGGATTCTCTGTAAATGCAGCATGTAAAGCAGATGATCAACAGCTGGTCACGGACATTCATTGGTTTCATGTGTATTCACAGGAGGGGGGAGAGGGGGGGGGGGCGCTTACGGTATCGTGGCGAAGGGGCTGGGCGGCTGGTTCTCTGGGGAGCCGTCCTCAGTGGGGGAAGGAAGGCCTTCTGAATCGAGTCTCTCTCGATGGACCTGCAGGGAGTAAATAACGAGATAATGAACATACTATTGTTAACAGATTGTGCAGCGGGACACAGTTACTGAGCGATAGAAATGCTGTGTTAGCATAGCGAGACACTTCATCTACAACCCATTTACCGGTCTGTCCCGTGCAGCTCGACCGCTAATCATCCCTCTGTGCTCGCGCCACGACTCCGGCCCCTCGAGCTCCCGAGATCTTCGCTTGGACTTCATTTCCTGCTTCTGCATAAAGTGAGCAATTTCCTGGTCCAAAAGACACAGTAGATTATTCCACAGCGGCCTATTAGGGATGAGATCATTGGGTGCCGTTGGTAGATCAATTGTACCTCATCCTGCGCCACTTGTGCCACTCTGAAGTCTCCCTCTGGGTAAACACATGGAGAGGTCCGAGAGTTCTGTGAAAACAAAACGGCAAAAGAAGAAAATAAATAAATAAATGAATAAATAATGAGAATACATTCCTTTGTCCTTTTGTGACCCCTAAATCCTCCATCTACCCTTCTCAGCAGCCGTTCCTCTTCCTCCTGCAGCTTGTGAGCCAGTTCTTCATCCTGCAGCACCTGACGCAGCTCCCGCAGGTCCAGGCTGGCCCCGCCCGCCTCCGCCTGCACCGGCGCTCCTAAAGGTCAAAGTATGACATGCATCAATCTGAAGACATCAATCAAACAAGTAGTGAAGACACGGGACGATTACTGATGAATCATAGGTCACTGAAGAAAGGAAAGACAGGGAACGATGGCGTTTGAGTCATAAGAGATGAGAGGAAGCACGTTAGGGCACGTCAGTAAGTTTTGAAAGGAACTTCGTGGCGCGGATTCCCTCACTACACGAGAACAGAAGGAAGAGGAGGATGAAGATGATCGCACACAGGGGAGATTGTTTCAGGACTACTGGAATTACACAGAGAAGAAGATGTCCCACTTCGCCAAGAGACCCCAAGTCACCAACAAAGCCCCCATTTGTCCAGATTAGACGGCGATTGAGGGAAGATGGGAGGAGCAGACGCACAGAGAGGCAGGAGGCGGAGCTTCGGGAGCTCGGCGCGTTACCTGCTGCCGCGCGCCTCCACCGACCCCCGCTTGACGCCCGGCTGCTGCCGAGGCTCCGGGTGCGCTGTGGGGCTCTTGGGAGGGGCCGCTCTCCTCCCCTCCCCGCCTCCCGCCCTTCCTCCTCCGAGCTTAACCTTTCTTCTACGGCCTCGGGCCGAAACCTGCGCCGTTGGCTCGTTGTCCTCTCAACCCTGCAGTGGTTTGCATTCCTCTCGCTCCCGTCACCTTCGGTGCGCCTGTGGTCTTTCCACCGTCTGCTGCCCCCCCGCTCTCCCCGCGCAGGATGATTGGAGTCTCTTCCACTAATCTCATTAAGATTTCTGTCTTTGCTCTGCCAGTCTCTGTGATCTCTCCCACTGCTCTCTGGGTATCGCTTCCCCTCCCTGATATCTCCATGGAAACTGTGCCTGGTGGCGGCAGCTCTCCGGAACGCTCCCTGATGTGGTCGGGAGTCGCTGCAGGAGACCTCGCTCCCGTGGAGCACCAGGCTGTCTCTGCCTGCAGGCCTTATTTGAAGCGGCGCCCCCTTGCAGCCAAACCTCACAGGCACGCCCCTCTCCCTGAGGACCTGGCCCAGCATCTCCCAGACGTGCAGCGCGTCTCCCTGCGGCCTGGGAGAGCGCCTGGTGTCATCCTGAAATCGGACATGTTTGTCTGGGTTTTCCGTGCAGCTCCAGGTCCTCGCCAAGTCTCCGTTGCTGGGTTTCCTCCGGTCGTGTAGCCTGACAGATTTACTGCGACTGGATCGCCTTTCTCTGACCTCAACCGACCTACAGTCTCTAGCCTGCTCCCTGCCACTGTGGAGACCCCGGTTCTCCTCGCTCTGGGCATCCAAATTCCTACGGTTCCTCCTCTCTAGATCCCCACTTTCATTATAGTTCTCAGTCCTTTCGCCTCTCTCCTCCTCTGTGTAGCTGCGGCGAGAGTAAAGACTCCTGTAGTTCCTCTCTGGCGGCTGATATAAAGATGCCCGCCGTCGAGGAGGCGCCGTGTCGAGTCTCTCAATCAGTCTCTCAGAGAAAACGGTGTCTGAGTCCTCTGAATCCTCACTCAAACGCTCCCTCAATTCACTCGTGTTTTCCCTAATGGAGTCGGTGTGTCCTTGATTCGACCATGGAGTTGTGTTTTTCTGAGCGTCTACCCCCCTGGGGGAGTAAGCCGGAGGCCTGGTGAAGTCTGAATGGCTGTGAGAAGTGGAGTACTGCCACCTGGTGGTGGTAGACGAGTACTGCGCCCCCCCGTGGTGAAGGCCAGTGAGTGTGTGCTGGCGTGGGGACGGTGGTGCAGGGTCGATAGTGCGGCCTTCAGTAATGCCAAACATGCAAACACAAAAGCAAGATGGGTGAGTCTGTTAGCATGTACTACGGCATAACTGCAGTTAATCATGTTACGCAAATGCTTTGCATCCGATGAAAGGGCATCGTAAAGACAGATCAACACTCACAACTAAAACATAACATAAAGGGACACATGTTCCATGCATGAACGGATCAGAGCACATGGAGGGAAGAATAAACTGTAGGGCGATAGCAATGTAGAGGATGTTTTGCTCATGCAGTTACAATGTGGAGAATGACTTATAATAATCAGCAGTAGCAATAAGCTACTAGTTTCCACGTTTGCCGTTCTTAAAATCTCAGCAAATACACACATTTAGTTCAAAACAGCCCATTTTAAAACAAGAGATCTTTAACATTATTTGTCAGTGTATTTGGATTGTTGAGTAACGTCGCTGACTGTAGAAAACATTGAAATGACAAACCGTACCTTCATTAAGGCCGTCCCACCCTCTGCTTATTCTTGTGATTCTCTCCTTCTCCTCTTCCTGCATTTGTTTAGCTATTTCCTGTGAAGACACAGATCGCTTCTATGAAATATAAGTAACCTATTTTAGAACACTTTGCGCTAAATGAAGGTTACAGAGAAATGCAGGTAAAATAAGAAAATAAACATAAATATCAAATTGATTTCTTGACCAGACAAATCAGTAATCGCAAGTGATGAAATGGTCGGGACAAAAACAGCCTCTGGACTGAGAGCAGTCGGATCAGACGTTGGCGTGCGACCGGTTGGTTCCTCTCAGACTTCGACCAGCAGGAGGCAGAACAACACAGATCATCACCCGACTCCACACTCAGACGGGTTCAGTCTGAAGGAAACTTTTGCTTTATCTCACATCTGCTAACCTGCTTTTGGAAATCTACAAAAACATCTCCAAGAAAAACACCTCTTACACTGTATTCAGTAGAAGACCATTTTCAATCAAACCGGTTTGACCCAAGATCACTTTTTCTTCCGAGAGGTTCTCAGTTCCCTTTGATTGGATCTGTATATTATTAGCTTTCAAGCAGCAACGTGAATGTAACGCGTTGGTACTACTGCGTTGGTACCGCAACTCGGCGTAAACACCGCGTCACGGGGGAAGGGCTGCGCTTACTAGAGCTGTTCTACTTGAACCCCCCCCCCCACCAACCTGTCTCCGTACCACTTTGCTTGGAAAGTCCAGAACCAATAACATTCTCCACTAATGGGCCAATTCTTGCGGAGAGTTCTGTGGAATCGCTCTCTGTAGGCTGCCTTTGCCACTTAGATCACAACTAAAAGCCAACGCAGCTCCATTTGTTTTGCAGTCGGTGTGTGTGTGTGTGTGTGTGTGTGTGCGCGGCAGCCACTGTGCCACCGTCAGCAGACAATTAGCAGCTTGCCGTGGCGCGTCAGGCGCGGCCCGCCACGGGGATCTGGCATTTTAAAAATGCACAGCCGGATGCCTTCTGCTCCTTAATTAAAGGCAAAATCTACAGGGAGGCAAATATTTAATCAACACCTCTGATCAGTCAGTCATTAAGGAAGGTAAGCAAACAGTTCATCATCTGCTCCCGACAGCAACACAAAACGAGTACATCCTTAGACGCCTCACGCCGGCTCCAAGCGCTGCAGTAACGATGAATAGAGCCCACAGTCGCTCTGACTTCACCTCCACCAAACAAGGAGCTCTTAGAAGCCTTTCCACAGCAGCCTCCTCTAGAAAGGAAACTGCAGAGTAAAAGGAAAATATTATGCTGAGCAGCCTTGTGACGCCGACTCCTCCACTCCACCAGCTGGGGAGCTTCATGGCACAGTTGGCTTTTTCTCTCCTACGGCTCAACTCCGTTGTTTTTATTAGTAGGCAGTTGAATGTTCCTCTCTGTAGAAAACATCGGATGGACAGAGGTTTTTAGAGGCCAGGCTCCTGAGAGGCGACCCATTCGGTTTCCCCAGCGTGTTCCGCTTCAGAGAAGAATGTTTTTGTATCTGAAACATTTTAGGAGAGAGCCGCTGCTTTAACACAAATCACCACTAGAGGAAACGGGAATACAGCTGTGAACCAGTGAAGCCTTATCGAGAAATCCATGTTATATTATATGCTTTCATTCAGCCACACACACACATTCTGTATCAAGGGCTTGATGCTCCACGTCTGGAATCAACCACCAGAGAAATAGCTTGAGCATCATCCAGATGTAACCGGTTAAACAGCTGACTTGGCTCACACAGCCGTCTTACATCAGAGGGCCAGAGCAGCACTTTGCTGCAACCGCCGTTCATTATGGATTCAGTTGCTCCTGAGAGAGAGCAAAGTAAACGGTACGGTACTCCCCGACCTGCTGGTAACTGGGAGGTAATTAAGTGATATACAAGTACGTCCCAGGTGGTACTCAAGTCTATGAGTCCCAGTGCTGAATGAACAAGTACTGGTCGCACCAGCAGTGGTCATGCTGGTGCGGTTTTAAGTCGGCCAACTGCCCCTAGATGCAGTTTGAGATACATACTCATTAATGGACCTTTATATTCCTCTTTTTGCGCCAACTTACTAAGTTGAACTATCCATTAACACGATCCATTGTGGCCTAAGCTCAGTAGCCGCGTGAGATATTTTTCAGGGACACTTTGAACAAACTTCTGGCCGCCGGCATTAATTGTAACTGAAGTGACAAATGATCAACTATTAACAACAAACTTTCAGGCAAATGTCACAGACCAAGTCCAAAAATATAAGTTCGAAAAACGTTTAGAAAAAAATAATATGTCCAAAGATGCTAAAAGAAAAGTCAAAATGTATTTTGTCCAAAATATTATGGGGAAAAAAAAAAAAAGACAAAAGATGTCATAGTTCAATAAATTACAAAAAATATCAGCTGGTTAAAATATTAGCATACTCAGGGCGCTCCAACGCCTGTCACGACTGACCTATTTGTCCATATAAAGGAAAGTTGAGTCTGGCTAAATGTTAATGGGAGGAATGCAAAGCGAGTGAAATCGGTTGACCTCGGTTTGAACTCACCTTATCCTCCTGCTCCCTCCTCCGGGCCTCCTCGGCACAACGCTGGATCTCCTCCTGAACTACACGGGCGTATTCAAAGTCCTCCATCTCTCTGCAGACAGGGAAGGAAAAGACTTCACGCTTGTGACATACGTGATGAAACTACCAAGCCACCTAGCAACAATGCACATCTAACATGAGGGCAACACGCAGGAAGTCACCCACAGTCGCCTGGAGGACTGTCTGTGGAGGGTGCTCTGCTGGGCCTGCTCCTCTTCTTCCTCGTCTTGCAGCCTTTTGGCAACACGGATGTCGTTCTGCACCAGCTGGTTCTTGTGGATGTTGGTCGTGTAGTATTGCTCAACTATAAAAGGGCGAGAAAAAAGAAGAAAAAGGCAGAAGTCAGGACAGACTCAATGTGTGCGATAAAAAAAAAACGACGTGCAACAAATAGTAATCCTTTGTTGTGTGTGAATAAATTACAATAGATGCTGCTAAATAAAATGGTCGGGTGCTTTTCAGTAGGAGGGTAACTACAGATGAAGTCACCAAAGCGGAGAGGTAGTGATTGCCTAAGACTAGAGAGCAGCCCACAGTACAAACGACTACACACTCGTGTGGTGTGCAGCTGCCACGTTGTACTTACTCTCCTGTTCCTGCAGGTTGTGTGCCAGCGCTCCATCCTCCAGCACAGCGAAGCACTGGCGCACTGCAACAACACAGGGAAGCTTCAGCGTCAGACAAAAGGTGACAAATGCAGATTTCTGCTCCCGATGCAGATACCTGAACCGACACCGACAACCAATCAGATACAAGTGCGTCAAAAACTATTTTAAACAAGTTTTCTATAAAATAAATAAAAGACTATAACCTTTGTAGTGCATTTAGAGATGCTCTTGGTGCAGCAACCTCCTTTAAATTCCATGTCCATAAAAATAAACCAGTGTTATAAACTGACAGCCTCTATTCTCCGAATGCTTAGTCACCAAAACTACACATTCTAATAGACTCACTCGATCCAACATCTGGTTTAAAGTCTTCCAACGTGACTGCAGTGGGGATACGAGTGTTAAAGAAGGAAGCTGTTCTCTCAGCTTGAGGATCACTGAAACAACAGAACCACCACAAGCATCTTGTTTGCTCCATCCAGAAACACGGTTGAGCCCTTGGACGGCTTGAAATGATATTATAGTGTATTCTGGTTCAGCACTTTGCCTTAAAAAGGAAAGAAATATATAGAGAAGTGCGGTGTGTCTTTTATTGTTTATTTGACAGTCAAAAGCTGGAGGAGTTTACCGGTCTGGCCTGAACAAACCGTTAAATATATAAAAAGCCCTCGTGAAGCCATCATAACAGGGTGAGTGACCACAGCTTTTACTGTCCTCCCAAAGCTCCCTGGAGTAAAGACTGCAGAGGAACAGCTCTGCATCCTAACAGCAGTAATGTGACCAGACTGGCGCTTTGTGTCTCACAGTTTTGGTGTGTATGCATCTTTAAATTACGTCGCCAATATTTTAAGGAAGCAGGTCCCTGTTTTCCATTCAACAACGTGCGGAGACGCAAAGTTTATGGTACGAAAGCATCGTTGTGAATCCAGAGGCTTTAGCAAAGAGTGTGTGAACCGTCTGCTTCTCCACATTGAACCTTCCCTTTCCCATGATCCCACGGTGTCACCACCTGCTGCTGGGTAAAGTCCTAACATATCGGTTTCAAGTCATTAATGCCAGCTTACGCATTGTCCCCTTTTGTCACAGCGTTGACAAAGCTACTCGAGGGGGGGGGTCAACATTCCGGAGGAGTTATTAGTTTGCGTTTTGACCAGAGTTCTTCTGAATACTCAGATGAAAAGGCGGTGAAGGTCGCTTTGCTCTCTACAGTTTAACAGAGCATCTGTGCACTGTTGATGTCGTCTACTGCCGGACGTCCTGAATCACCCTCGTGTGTGTGTGTGTGTGTGTGTGTGTGTGTGGAGTCGACGCCCCGAGGCTGTTAAAAGCCTGTCCAACGAAACCCAAAAGTAGCAGCTGTTTTCTCCACTTCCTTCATATTTCAATCGGTCCGGGAAAAAAACAACAACAACACACTGTGCGGTGTGTCAAAGAGCGTCTGTTCAAACGGTGCGGCCCAACGACAGACCGGCGTGGAAGATGTTTCGCTCGCTGCAGAGGGAGCGAAAGTACAAAAGAAGTACAAATAAGAAGAAGAGCGACTGAACAGACGACTCTGGAAGTTTACTTGCTGAAGATAAAAACCGCATTATGTCGTGGACCACGAGAACAAATGGACAAATATCTACTGCTACTACTTGTGTTCACCATCTCTTTTTAAGGACAGCTCTTCAGGTTTAATTTAATCTAGACACATCCATCCCCGTTGACCCACCATGTCGGACTCCTCTACGAGTTAAGAGTCCTCTTTAATGCTGCACCTTAGCTGAACTACAAGAGAACACTAGAACAAGCACTTACAGATCAGCTTCTGAGTTGATATAACAAGTCAAACTGAGGACAATAGAAAGAAAACACTTCTGAAAACAGTCTGCTGGTCAAATCCTATAAAAGGAAAACAATGTCCTTGCTGAGAACAACACTGGGATGAGGGGGGTGGGGGGGGGGGGTTAGTCTACAGGGGCCCCAACAGTCAAAGTTCATAGAACCCCCCCAGAGAGCGGAGCCCTCTCCAGGGTCTGTTTACACCACATAATACTACACTGTGTTAACCCGCACCAAGACTGACACACCTGTCGTGGAGCTTAAGAGACTATCCGCTGAAAAGACCTCCGAGCTGCCTTCATCCATCCCGTCTGTCAATACGGAATAACAACCAACCGAACACTTGGTTTCAATCCCAAAGGATAAACAGACGCTTCAAGACAGGAGCTTACTCTTAAATCTCACTCAGAAAGCAGTGAAAGAAGCAGGTAAAATGACAAATATCTTGTTTGGTGTGTGTGTGTGTGCAGACGTGGCTGAGGGCGTGTCTGCATTGCGGGTCAACTTGTTTTTCCTCTAAGCCGCAGTCACACCAACGTGCTGTGGGAGGGACAAGGAGACGCTGTTACTACCACGGATAAACGAGTCCAGGGACTTGTGCAGTGGGAGTTCAAAATTCAACTCCTCCTATATAAGCTTCTTAATAAGGGCACCGAAGAGGACCCTGCCGGGCCGCGTCGGGGTGGTACATCCGCAGGAATCGCCTGTGGCATTTGAAGACCAGAGGCTAAAGAACGCCTAAGGCGACGCGCTGCCTTACCCGGTACATCCGCAAAGGACGCGGCCAGACAAAAGTGTGGCGAAGGGGCCGGCGTTATGGGCAGGAAACCACGACCTGCGTGACCTCGAGCCTAAACAGTCCAAACAAGGGGTTTATTTTCCAACGCCTGTCGGCCCCTTTCAAATATACCACGTTACTATACCTTCATCTCTGCGGCTACTCGGTTAGCAGCACTTCCAAGTGGCCCGATAAACAAAGAAAGCGGGCCTTAAGGAGAAACTGACGCGGGTTCTATTTCCAGACAGAATCCTCCACCCGCCTCGCTCGCTTCATCTCCTGTGGTGCTCGCACAACATTTCACCAATCGCGGTCGGTGCATCCAACCACTCTTTGTGCTGATGAGTGATAAACTACGCGATCTGAGGGAAACTGATGGAGAACAAAGAGATGTGAGGGGTGGGGGTGAAGGGAGTCTGGGTCAGTCGGTGCGAGTGGAAATGGGAGCGTGGAGGGTGGGGGTGGAATTCCTCCAAGAGCTGCATTCCCTCTGCACATCGGGCTATAACTGGAGACGCCAGCGGAGGGGCAAAACAGGAACTGATAAGAGGGAGGAGTGTGTATGGGGGGGGGAGGCAGTGAAAACTAAGAGAGTTGACTTGGCTGAGCCTGCCGGATCGGGTGGAAAGTGAAGAACACGATCCCGATGCCGCAGAGAGGAAGAACAGCGGCGCAGTTTGGAAAAGCCGGCACCGGCGAAAAGCGCCGACGGGCTGAGAAAAGTACATGAAGCAGCCGTCTGATTTACGTGCCGCTTTTGTCTCGGCGTGCAGTTTTATCGCAGGCGCGACCGGCTTTGTGTGCACATCGGCCCCTTGCTCGATCAAGCATGAAAACGCAGAGCCGCACAGTGCGCCCTTTGTGCAATGGTAACAAGAGTGGAGTGTTGAATTATCTGATAAGTAAAAAAACTAAACACACGCAGTCCTCTTTCCAGCCCGTTCATCAGCGCGGACGTGTCCACGTGTCCAGGCCGCACCTTTGACTGTTTTCAGACTCACATGCAGACAAATAAGGTGTATGACAGAGAGAAATGGCGTTTCTGCGCACACCGGACCACGACGGGATCCACCTCAGGAGATACCGAAGGCGGACTTCTTAACGAAGATGGAGAAGTGATGCCACAGAAATCCGACTGACACACACACACACACACACACACACACACACACACACACACACACACACACACACACACGGCGAGAAAAGAAGCCATGGACAGTTATTTGTGGGATAGAGTATATATATAAGTTGTCAAATGTCTGATGGTCTCCAAAGCATCCAGCAGACATGAAGACAAGCATGTCTTACGTATAAACTGTGCTCACAGAATCACACACTTTGTCCCCTACTGGCTCCAGACCAGTTGCCCTGACCTCTGGTCGGCCTGAGGGGGGGCTAAACAAAAATAAAAGCCTTTCCCCAGGACAGACAGGCCGGGAACCATCGTGCAACGTTTCTATACAGTAGAAGCCTGATGGGAGTAAGTTAGGATTTTACCTTCTTGGACACGTGGAAGGTTGGACTGGTCTATTTCCACCTCGGCCATCGTTGTCCCCGTCTTGTCACAGCCTCATGCTGACACAGAAGACCCGGACACCAGGACGGGAATCCAACGTCAGTGGGGGGGAAAGGCAAAGACACCTACACAGGGAGACATTCGGTGGAAGTTAGAGTCTTAAAGTCAAAACACACGACTGGTTTAGCTCAGTGGTGTTGACGCAAACATAAAAATGTCAGCTATTAGTTAAATACTAACAGCGACCGAGCTAGCAGGAGCAGCGCGGTGACGCGTAGCTCGGCTAACTACAGGTGGAGACATTAGCGGTTTACCTATAAGCACTTTAGCGTCACCTGCGCCACTTTTGGTTTGTCGAGCAAAGCGGAAGAATGACGCCGTCCATTTGTTGTCACCTACCTGTCCTCCCGCAGCGAGCCGTGTGTGCGCGCGCAGCCGGTTCAACAAGTAGCCACGAAAACTTTGTCCGCTCCGCCGCACCTTCCGCCTCCGTCCTGGGTCCCGGGTGTCCCTGCCCACCGATACGAAATGTCCCCAAAGGACGAGGGGCCGTTTGCAGCGCCTGTGTGCTGGTGGATGTTTAGGCGAACCCAACGAGAAGTTACCGTCGACTGAATGGAACAAACCCTCCCCACCCTCCGCGCGCGTCAACTCGTGATGGGATGCCAGGGTGGGGAAACCTAACCCACCAGTCCGTCGCTCGCGCTGCTCGATCGCGGCTTCAGTTCGACGACGTTGCCTTCAGGTGCTGTTTTAAGCTCGGAATTATTTATATCGGTCACGATGTGAAGCCTCGGAAACTACAATAAACTTTATTTGAAGTAAATCAGATAAAGCTTGAAGAGCGGCCCACTGCCAGCAACAGAACAGTGGATATTCATCTTCGTTTAGTGACACCCTACGTGACCTCAGGCCGACAATGTGCCTAGAACTCAAATATTCCAAAAGGTTCCTCGACTACAACTTTAATGTGCGCTGACTAAAATGCAATATCTTGATTAGTCGTTGAAGGCAACTCTCAACCTGCCGATGGTTGTGTCTGTATTTTATTATTTGAATGAACAAATTCTGGATTAGAATGTGCAAATATTATGGTGGAGAGGACTACTTCGCACCGCAGAGTATGCATTTTAGCATAAAAGTGTTGATTTACGTTCTGATAATGTGGCAACGTGGTTGGCAAAAATAATCCCAAAAGACCCATTTCTGAGAAAGATGGGCTCTTTTTAAAAACTGCCTTGTAAATGTCAATAATGAAGATCATTTGGAGGCTGTGCAAGCTATAGGTTTTGTGATGTCTTGTGCACTGAGACTGAAATGAATAAAAAGTGTTTAGGAAGATATTTTCTTTGAGCTAAAATCAAAAGATTAGAATGGAGGCTAATGTGCAGACAATCTATAAATACAATAGTTTATGGAATATAGGTGTATTTGGTTTCCTAGACATGACGTTGCCCTCTGCTGGCTGTACATACGCCAGTCAGAGTCCTGTGGGCCGAATATTGTCAGCAAGTGGTAAAAACCTGTGAGGTCACAAAGCTTGGACTGTTTAATGGGACATGTGAACATAAAATCAGGTATTTTCAGTAATAATGTCTGAATATGAAATCAAAGGTTGACAATTTAAATACTCAATCACATCTGAATGATATCTGGTGTGGAGATGTGGACATTTCGGTGTAATTTGGGTTTTTCATTAAAGGATCCATTTAATTCTGCTGTTACTAAATGTACAACAGGTACTTTACAAACTTCAGTGGAATATATATCTTTTTAATTGTACATTCACTTGGACTATAGTCCAATGGCTACTAGTAGTACAGGTTTTTTTTCTATTCTGGAAAAACAAACAATATATTCTGTTTGTTCAATATGTCCGTATTAAACCACTCAGCAGGAGGGACGATTCAGACCAAACACCATTTTGCAACAATTTTGCATATTAATGTGGCAGCATTTTAAACTGCAAATGGGACAGTTTGTCATTTTTTACACTGCTTTTGCTACATCAGCATATTTCAGTGCAAATACTTGTTCTCATTCATATTCAACATTTGGAAAGCAGGACTTCATTTGTAATATATCTTTTTTTTAATCAACATTTCTATACCGGGAGAGTTTCCATAGAACTTCTTAACAAATAGAGTTTAGCCTTTAAATTCTATTTAAGGTTAATAGTCACGATGTCAACAAAAACTCCCCATCGTTGATGCAGCTACTCTCGCTTTACCTACTCGGCTCTGTTCACACTAATCCAAATGATATCGTGTGAAGAAATTAGAAAAGTGTCCATTTTGCTTATGACACGGCTGTACCTTGATAAAATTCAACCGTCCTCGTGAAGTTGTAAAAGAGGACCCCATATGTTACAAGATAAACCTCAAGCATTGGGGGAGACTATACGTTTAGTTTAGAGGCCGGAATAAACTGGGATTGGCAGCCGGGCCTTGACTAATACAGAATATAAATGGTAATAGCTTTTTATGAAGCAGCACCTAATGTAGAGCCGGGTCTTCGGGCAATAAAAATCAAATGTCACTGTCGCTCTGTCGACCCTCATTATCATAGAAGACACTGAACATTGACGTCAGACTTCTAATAAATATACAAATCACGGAGGGGCAGAATATGACCCCGTGAGTAGCATTCTCCCTCCGTCCCCACGACAGCAGGGGAAGGTTTTTTGAGTTAGAGCTGGACGTTGTCATAAAGTTGCGTTTTGTTACATAACCAGGAAGTGAATGCACACGTTTAACATCTTACCAAAACAAGTGCTCTAAGTAATATGCACGTGTCAATCTGATTCAATGCCCCATAGAACACATTCGTCTCTTAGATTGACTTAGAATGTCAGATGACCTGTAGGCTCCAAGGCTTCCAACATTTGAACATTTCTGCTGAACCAGTCTCTGAAAACTGGTTCAGCAGAACAAAAAACACTGATTTGTACGCAGCTCCACATTGTGGAGATTCACTCTGAGTCAAGAGGATTCAAATTGCCCAACAGTTTAATGAGCCGGTAGCGTGAAAGCGTCGGCCATTTGGCTGCCGCCTTTCTCCACCTGCTCCCCTGCAGGACATCTGAAACACCTGCTTCAATCCCATTTACAAAGACAGTTAAACAGTCAAGTAAGCTGAAGAGCTGGTAAAACACGGCTGTGACCTGGAAGCGACGGCCGCGGCACCGTAACTCACCTGTGACTGCCCATTGATTTACTGCAGTTAGAAGGGATGGGGCTGTGGTTTTGGCCGGAAAGAGTGCATGTTTGCTGCGTGGCATAAGGGTTGGGGGGGGGGGGGAGTATTTAAGCCAGTTGTGACCGAGCACGTACAAGTCTTCTTTCCACCTGAGGATCACCGTGCGGTTCAGAGCAATCTTCCAGCAGCAGCGGCGTCGGGTTCGTGATGAAGTGTGACCATCTCGTGTCCTGGGCCTTTTTGCTGGTGGCCTCTGGCCCCCTGCTGGCCCACCCCATCACAGAGTCCCAGGAGATGCCCTATCCAGGACCCGGTGAGTGGAAAGTCCTATACACTGTGTAGCTTTTGTTCACGGAACATTTAGCACCGCGATTTGCATTCATAGCAATAAAACGTAACCATTGAAGAGTTTGACTGTGTGACTCTGATTGTTCTGCCAAACTGATTTATCTCCTGTTCCAGAAAATATATTTAATTTAGTTTTCTGTACAAATAATGACAACTTCAGCATAGACTAGCATAATAACCTAAATAAATCTCTAGAAATTGTACATTATGTGAACTTGTGGTCGTCATCTTGTCCTCAGTATCAGCTGAGGACGGAGGACTCAGCGCTCTGGATGATCTGTCTCCCTCCGAGCAAAACTTTCCTTCCCGGGATGCAGCTGGTCTCAGATATTCCACTCTGATATCTGGGGATTATAACAAAGACGGTAAGAAACACGCACACAGCTCGTCTTGTATTAAAGTGCTCATACTCGATGCAGAACCTTTAGTCCAGGGAAAAAATCTTGCAGAAAGAATGTGCTACATATTTTGCACCGACACAAAGAATGATACCCGTGTTGTTACCATATTTTATCCATTCATTGGAGGTGCTGATCAAGACCGGGTAGTTTTAGTTGTGATTGAATGATCTTAGGTTTTATTTCTTCCAGGTGTTAGAGCGGGCCTGCTTCCCAGGGGGATGAAAAGAGAGGTGAGTTTTCTACAAATGCTTTCCTTTAAAACACCAAAGAAAAGTAAGCCGGAAGTCAAATGTTTACAGCTGCTATTTCATCCCGCGTTGCAGGTCCTGCTGGAAAGACAAAGCCTCCTAAATCCTTTCAGCCGCCTGTTTGGCATCCGGAAGCAGTTTAGGAAGAGAGCAGGGAATTCTGAGTGTTTCTGGAAGTACTGCGTCTAAAACACACATAAGTACATCCAGACACAATGATAATCACCACGCAGGTATCAGTGTGTCATGTAATCACACATGTCCACTCACATGCATGCTCACTGTCAGTATTAGGTAGTACATAGGTACAATTAGGATCAATATCTGGGGACTTACAGTTGATTTATTGAAATAATTTATGTATATTTATGTGAACACATTTTTTTAAAGTCCTTGTTCGTACGTGTTATGCCCACATGTCTTTTAAAGGTGGGAGTAAAAGGTCGTACAGCGCTGTTTGTTGAACAATAAAAACTGCATCATAAATACTTGTCTTTGTAATTGTCTCAACTTGAAGGTGTCTGTGCAAAACATACTGGGCCAAAAAAATGTAGCAAACGTAGTAGCCAAGTTTTTCTTCATTTTTACCTTTTTTTATTATTTTACAGCAGAAAGAATATAAAGCATTCAGAAAACATCTTCCATATTTTAAGGGCAATTCAAAACGTTTTGCATGGCTTCAGCAGCTGAAATATCTTTTTTTTCCTTTTTTTTTAAACATATCCATCGAGTCAGTGACGCTTGTACATGCACAATTACCGAAATAAAACTTACAAACAAGAGAAGGGAAGAAAAAGGAGGAAAGCAAAACACATTAGGAGAACCAAGAGGAGATGAACCTTTCGAGGTTTGGGGTCGGGAGCGGAGAAAAAGTGGGTCACATAACGAGGAAAGACAGAGAGAAAGACAGCTATAGAGGAGAGGAAAATAGATCTAACACTAGTTCACATGCAAAGTGTCGAGGACCCATAACTTTCTATCAAAGCAGGGCCTGTTTTTTCTTCTTGGTTTGGAATTGATGAAAACGTGCAGTTCGGTAAAGGGTGCCATATAATTGCTGTCCATAAACTACTGAATGCTTGTCTTGCAATACTGGCATTTGCATAAGAGTAAGTCGACTACATGTGTCCAATCGTTTTAAACTTCACTAGGTCTATAGGTCTCCACAAAATAGTTCTTTATTGCTCTGTGTCCACAAGTGGAATATGTTGTAAAACTGTTTCTGTTCTGTTGTCCTGATGTGCCTACCTTTCTCTGGTCTAGGTGCTCGGGGAAAAAGAAAAAGAGGAGGAAAGGCAGATTCCCGGGTCAATCCTTCGAGACAGATAACGTGTATGAAGCTAAACCTGTCATCCCATTCACAAATGGCAGTACAAAACAAGATTTGCAGGGTGCACTTTTCACATAGCTACAATGTTAAATCTTAAATACCCTCTGCATTTTGTCACTTAGATAAATTAAAGGCCTAAAGAACCGGCCTGAGTTACACTGTGATTTGACAGGCTCCTATGACAGAAAGTCAAATCATTTATCTTAATAAGCTATATATATATATCACAGGACTTTACTCCGCGGCCCCACCGGTGTCTGCAATGATCAACGTTACCGGGAGGAAATGGATTATACTTTAAAGAAGCTGTCTGTCTTTACCGGAGGGCACAGCAGGAAGGATTTCCTCTTCTTTTTACATTTTTTTTTTTTTTTAATTTCAGCTTCTTCTTCTGTGAATCACGTGTCCCACTCTGCTTCTTCCTCCCCGTTTTGGCACCCTGAGTAAAATACAGACGGGGGGGGTGTGGGTGGGGTGAACCTGTCCCTCAGCCTGGAGGAGAGCGATGCCGCTCAGAGTACAAATGGAACGGACACCGCGATACGTCTGCATGTGTGCCGCTGTGCTTGTGCGTGTGTCGTTGTGTCACTTGGTTAATACTTGCTATACATACTGTGACAATGGTCTCCACCCATGTACATTTGTCCTATTTGAAGTTGGGAGCACACTGATCAAATCTAAAGGAATAGAAGAAAAATAAAGAAAAGGTCTAAAAAGTTTGTCTAAAAACAATCCCGTCCTCCCGCAGCGACGCCGAGTATCGATCGCCGGCTCATTTGTAAGTTTCCCGTCAGGCCTCTAGTCACTTTCTGAGTTCTGTGACACGTCAAAACCAACGTTCAACAGTGAGTCTTTATAACAAGTCTATCTGACTACAGATTCTAGGAAAATAAGCATGCTTTAGGTGCAGTTTGGTCACCCAGTTAACTATTTTACCCATGCAAGCATAATAAATCCTTCTCCTTTTCACCACGACGTTGCATTGGCTATGCGTTCTACCCACAGACCGGGAGGATTTCAATCGCCAGGCAACAAACCCCAGTAGTGGCGTATCTAAGTGAGATTTCAGCAAGCTGTCCCTTTACGAAAGAGGAAAATAAGGCATACAAAACAAAAATAGAGCCGAGCGCGTAGACAAGCTGGAGTGTGCGGTGGGAATGTTGTGCGTTTGGTGCGTGTGAGGTGACGGCGATGGTGCGTGTCCACGGAGAGGACGCAGCACTGTCTGTTCTCTCACATTCCCTCAACCTCGGTTGTGCGCCGGCCGCATTGTGACACCGGGCTTGCGTGATCAGGACATGAATAGGCACTTTCTACATAAACACTCGGGAAATCAAGTTTACATGTCAGGAAAACAACGAAAAACAAGCGGTCAGTCAAGGGAATGAATGTGAGATATGACCTGCCGAGGCTGATAATCATTCAACAAACGTGACAATACTTAAATAAACAAAACTCATCTTTTTCAGTGGCAACTTGGCTTAAAAAAAAACAAATGTCATTACTTCGATACAGAATACACTTTGTGGTAGTTGTGGTAGGAATAAATTATGTGACACCAGGCGGCAACCAGGCGCCTCTGAACCAGCAGCTCAGGTTCTCTCTCAGATGGTTCCTACAGCCCAATCAATACTGATATATATATAAATACATACACGCTTAATATAGTTTATCCAATGTAGAAGACAGTTATTATGCCTGATAATAATAAATGGCACCCGAGCGCTATTTCACACATAGTTACTACAGTCATTTTGGCTCATTGACTCTGCATCGAGGCAAGTGGCAACGTTTAGTGCCGTCTTTCCAGATAGAATCGGTTTAGCACCTTTCAATGTCGGGACAGTTAGTTTTGAAAATCTTGTCAGCTGCTTGACAAAGAAATCCATTCATGTACAGTATGCTACACATGTTGTTCAACTAGAAGGAATATAAGGTCTATTTAGACCCTGGCAGCCTAGCCCACTGTGTTTTTTTTCCCGTCCTTTAATTAAAACAAATTGAACTAGGACAATCCTGCCACTAGTGCATTGCAGGGATCAGACAAGAATTGATGAATCAATGCTCGCTGCAAGTTAGTGTAAAGTTAAAGACGTGCATCTAATCTTTCTCAGTGAGGGACACAAATTACATCGTGGGCAAGGCTGCCAATTTTTAAGATCAGGCAAGACACCTCAATAACACATTCCATTTGTAACGACAACACAAGATGAAATGTAAACGCTGCTGTGTTTTCAGTGATGGTCAAATGCTTCGGGTATCAGTGGGATAGTGTAGACGTGACAGACTTCAATGTGTTCTGCTTACTTAAAGCTCCCCCTGCAATGTGTGTACCTTGTTGTTCTAGAGACCCTCGACCACTCGCGTTGTTACGGTCTTCAGTGCTAGTGTGTATTTCACGGTATGATTATCTGTTCTGCAAAAAATGAACTTAATTCTCTTCCTAAGCTAGATAGCATTCACGTACCTCGGCACCATTGGCAACAAATTCTTGGTAGCCCAAAACAAACAGATAACAAAGAAAGTAAACATAACCGTACTTGATTTGTGATAATGCAGACATCTCCTAACTCTAAATACAGTATTTTTTTGTTTTTTTATATTGCAATAATATCATGCTTTAGCAAAATGTTCTTCTTAAGAACAATCAAAATAAAATAAAATACTCTAATAGTGAAATAGTTTTAATTTTACAGAGCATAGCCACTACTAGTTTTGCTGTTTTTTCCCTTTTTGACTCTGTTCATACTTTTCATGCACATAGCTCATTTTTATCCCAGGTATTTACACTATATACAAACAATACAACCATACTTCTTAGGCATTCAAACAAAACTATACAAATATTCTGTTTTTGTCTCGTACCTGTTTTTGACCCATTTTTAATGAATAAAATAATATATTTCTAAAATACAATCCCCTTCGGGTAAATGTTTTTTTCCTACGTACTTTCAGCCTTCTTTATATACAGAAATCGCTCAATTGTCAAAAATATGGATTTGTCAAACCCCTATTTTGGGACACGCTTAGGGACCCCTCAAAGAATCTCTAAGACGTCAAGGCAATGTATGTGATCTTCCCCTCAAGAGCCTTCACAGGCTCCGAAGTTCATTTAAAAACAACAGTAATAAAACTGCATGACCAGAACCATTACAACACAAAATAGGCAAGTTCATATCTCCTGTTCGGTTTCAGAGGATCAATCGACCGATCAACGCAAAATCAATAGAAACGGGACAATAAGGGGATAGCTTCACACCGAGATGATAGAACTCATGGGGGATAAGATGGAAACAAAAAGTAAAATCAGAGGATAGGCTGAAAGACTAGACCGTAAGCACACAAGCAAAGACTCTTCTCGCCAAGAAGTCATGCATTTTTTTCTTGGTAGGATTCAACAACATAGAGCCTGAAGATACAGATCACCAATACATTGGACATGATGGAACAAATACATTGGACAGAATGAAACGAATTCAAGTAATAAAGTGACAATATACACCATAAAGCATAGGTTTCCTTCCTTTTTTTCCTTTTTTAAGAAATGTCAAAACCAAAATATTTTATCCCCCCCATCTGCTTCTGCGTGGTTAAACCCCGGACTACATTCATTCGTAGCTCCACCCGCGCGGGCAGAGTGGTGGGGTAGAGCACAGTGGGACAGCAGGGGTCGTTGAGCTAAATTGAATATCATATCATCTACAGCCGTGGGTAGAAGTGGGCGTGTGGGTCACCAATATATTTGGTTTAAAAAATAAATAAAAAAATCCTTGCTCAAATGAATTGCTCGGTCACTTAAAACACAATTAGAGGCCAGAGTGTTTCTGCGCGGCTCCCCGTCTTCTGAGATCTTCTGCCGTGGCCTTCATTTATCTCCTCGCCGTCCAAAAGCCTCTTTATGCTCCAAAAACACAAAGCAATCCAGGAAAAAAAAATAAAGTGCAAAGAAAAATGCCATGACGCAAATGTTCTGTCCCCCCCCCCCCACCCGCCCCCCGTCCCTTTTAGTTTATAATCCCGTAGAAGTTGCCACTCTGCAATCAAAATCAAGTCAGTGGAAAGAATAGATATGTGAAAAATGCTGTTGTACATGTAATAGTAGTTGATCCAGTAACACTGCAGTAGTAGTAATAATCGCAGTGCTTGCATTGATGTTCTTCTTTTTTTTTAACTTCCATTTCTCTTTGTAAAATGTCTCGGGTACAAACAAAAAAGAAAGGAGGTGTCAGGAGAGTGATGTCACATCGCCAGGGAGCTCTTCTGAGGGGCCTCATGTTCCCTGGCCCTTTTCAACTCTTTCACCCTGGAACACAGAGAGAGAAAAGCGTCTTATCAAGCACGAGCCAAACGGTTTCACACTGTTCAGCCACGTCGCGTCAGCTCAGACCACCAGGAGCTACTCCTGGCTGTGAAAAGAAAGGCTGGTCAATGTGCAATCAAACAATCCGGAATGAGCAACGGAAAATAGTAACTATTGGGACAACTACGGAATCATTACCATGTTCGCCCGTTACAATTGGGATTAAATGCACGTTTGTGGCGATAAATACAAGATTCATGCATTTTATTTTCCCGACACAATATACTGATGATATCATATTTACACAGATTACATGTATTATTCTAGTTAATACTACTCCTTTTAAAGTGACACATATGGCACTCTGAAACAAAGCATGTGACTGTTTCCCAACAGCATGACGTGCGTACTTCTGTGATTATTGAAACAAAGACTATAATATAACAAGTATTGTCCTTATAGAGTCTAACTCTAGATAGTTAATGGTGAAATGTATGAACCATTAAACTAAATTACTAAAGTATTTCCAAACATATCAGTCGAGGCAAAAATGGAAGATTATCTGTTTGTGGTTAAAGAGCAATTCATATTTCAAAACTTTATAAAATACATTGTGTGGCAGCTCACAAAACAAGAGACACGCGTCTCAGATGAGCAAAGGGCCGATGGCCTGTCGAGTACGCGCTGCTCCTTTTCACCGAGCAACTGATTTTAACACACCGGGGTTAACACATCGGGGTTAACACAGCGGACGGTCGCCACTGCAACATTTATGTACAGTTAGACTCCGCGACCTATATGCCGTCCCAGCTTCCTGACCTATATCCAGCAGACAACGTCCCGTCAACAATCTCACCTGCTCTAAAAGCCTTGTGCCCTATTTTGGGACAGTGTACAAACATGAGATATGCAACAGCAAGGAGGTCAAAGGTCTGTAAAAATACTAAATGTATATCGGAGGGGTTGAGTCCCCCTCTCGGCCTGTCGAGTGGCTGGAAACAGGACAAGCAGCCGGTGAGACGGACAGACAGACTACTCGAGGCACAGCAGGCCCACAGCATGCCTGAAGTAGGAGAGCAAGGCTCGTAGTGATCACCACTGGACATGCAGCAGAATAACACAGGGTTGGAAAAAAAAAAAGGCTCCCGTTCTCTTAAACCGGCCATCTGCATAACCACACAAAGTGAAATAAAAAAAGGAAACCCAATATGAACAAAAAGTAATTCCCGAGGAGAGAAAGACAGAGATAAAGAGAGTCAGTGAAGTGCCTGTTAAGTGTTGCAGTGATATTGTCATTCATAAGCATTTAGTTATTTCAAGAATACTGCTTTTAAATCTGAGCTTCTCAGTCCACCTGTGGCTCCGGTCGTCAGCCTTCATGCAAGCAGGCATCAAGCAACAGTGATGGAAAAGGAAGTAGGCTGGGTGGAGGGATGGGAGAGAGAGAGAGAGAGAGAGAGAGAGAGACAGAGAGAGAGAAAAGGGAAGGAGGAGGAAAATGCAAAGGCCGAGACCTCAGGAGGAGATAATTGTATTATTAAAGAGTGAGAGACGGAGAGACAGAGTTAAGGGCGAGAAAGAGACATATGTAATAACAGAGAGAGAGAGAGGGAGCGAGAGAGAGCGAGAGAGAGCGAGGGAGGCACGAACTGAGTTGCTGAGGCTGCACTCACCCGCTTGAACAGTCTATGGTCCATCAAGGGGCTTGGCATAAACAGCAAAACAATACCAGACAGCTATTAGCACACAGTAGGCACTGTGAGGGAGGGGGGGTGGGGGACAGGTGGGTGGGGGCCAAACACAGTGAGAGGAAGGGGTTGGAGCTCAGGTGTTGCCACCGAGTTTGTCCGACAAAAATAAATCAAACACATGACACCAAGTAAAAACGAGGACACGAGTCTTACTGATTAGCTCAAAGGGATTCAGTTCTTTCGAACCGTAAACCCGCCCGTGCATTAGATCTGAGTGAGAGGCTTCACCCCGGCCCACGTGGAGCCCTGCGCGTACGTATGTGTGAATGAACTACGTCAGTACGCGTGTGAGTCGGGGGGGGCTACCTGTGGCGGCAGCGACGTAGGAACCTCATGATCTTCCTGGCAGCTTGATCCTGCCTCTTTGTGAGCAGACTACCTCTGTGAAAACACAACACAACGACAGTAAAACATGTTAATATCATGTTCATCTCTGAATTTCCGTTCCAGTGAGTCCTACCACAAGCCTGCTAACAACTGGGTTTAAATAAACGAAGGAACCTGTCCTTCATCAACCGCTGATGCGTCTACCTTAGTTTATGCTGCACCAGGGCAGCGGCGGCCCCCCGCTGGTGGGGCTTCAGCCTGCCGAACTCCTTGTAGCTGCGGTAGTACTGCTGAATGAGCACAGCGGCCCTCCTGCTCTGCTGAAACTTCTTCTGTTCGTGGTAGCTGCGGAATTTACTCTGGATAAGGATGGCGGCCTGCGTCATCTTCTTATAAAGTGCATACTGCCAATGAGAACGAGACAACACGTCACGCTCTGCCGCGGGAGAATACCGCAACAGTGCTGAGGGTTCACGCCGGGGTGGGAGAACAACGTTTGGCAGTTAATTTAGCTGCTGGTAGTGGAAAATGTTTACCTTCAAGGCTATCCATGTTAGCTTGCAAAAAGAAAAGGGAATATATTGTAAATGATGGAGGACTTACACGTACTATTCTGAAATAGTAAAAAAGATATATGTATATATATAATAAACTAGGATATATAGTAATCAAAAGCACTTAATACATGGGACCATATCAGGAACAGGACAATAGATTCGTGGGGCCTACCTGTTTGTATTTCTTGTAACAACGCTGAATAACAGCAGCAGCCACTTCCTGTTGCTCTCTGAGCGGACGCCCCTGTTGGAGAGTAGAGGGTGCAAAGGTCAGAGGTCACAAAGGAACCTACGTTTCGCCATAAAGGACTCAAGTCTCCCTGAGGTCCCCTGGTGGCCGACATGTGAATGGCGCCCTGGCGTGAGTCCATCCTTGTGCAACGGGCCCCCAGAGGAGGAGGAGGAGGAGAACTGTGGAGGGATAAAGGTCCTCCTCAGTATCAGCCGGTAGAAAGGCCCAACAGACGACTGCAAACGACAGCGAAAGAGTTTGTGATATGAAAACCCATTGAAAGTAGCTGGGGATGGGTAGCGAGTTGAGGAATGGGATCGGGCAGTGGGAGAGGACTGGTGTGTGGAAGCTAGTTATAAAACAGGCAGCAGCAGGCTCCATACACCTAACTCAGAGAGAGAAACAGAGACAGAGACAGAGGGAGGAGCAGAATACGAGCTTAACTGTGACTAATTGGAGCAGGGATACAGAGGACAGTGCAGTCGCTCCTCTAAGCAAGGCCATGCTCTGCTCAAGGCACCTTCCCATGCTGAACCCACAGGGACTTATTTGGATACATATTTGTTTATGTTGTAATGTGTGTACGAGCTGAAGAACAGAGAATCAGACAGAGGTAGAGACAGAAGTGTGAGTAACATCAGGTACGATCGGACACAGTACGATCAAGAGCGCCATAGCGTGTGAACAGATAAACAAAAAGAACCCTTCAACATCTCTCTCTCTCTCTCTCTCCGAAAGCAAAACCACTGAAGAACGCGGGCACTAAGAGCACAGCCCCGTCACGGCGGGCTGCAGCACGCACAGCTGGAGCGCCCCCCGAGCGCCGGGCCTGTACCTTGTACTTGCGGAAGGCAGTTTGGACGAGACGGGCGGCCTCGTACAGCTCCCTCTGCTCTGGGTCGGACAGAGTCAGCTGGGCCAGGTCCCGCTCCACTTTGCTGTTGGAGGCAGTGATGAACTCACTCCAGTCGGCCGGGGACGGGAGCGCAGACCTCTCCAGAGGCCCCTCCCTCAGTGGAGACACCGCAGGATTGAGGGCGGGATTGGAGGATGAGGTCAGCGGTTCATTGTAGAGAGAGCTAAGGAAGAAATGTGGCAGAGAGGTTTCGCTCCTTTGAACACTTTTGTCTGTTACATGTATGTTCAGGGTATGAATGAAGGAATATGAGGGAATATAATGAGGGAATATTCAGGGTTACACCTGTTCACCTAACACGTACATGTAGATTAGGCCTGGATGTGGGTCTCAATGCAAAGTAATTAAAAACAAATCATTTAAATAATTTCTTTACACTGCTTGCCAAGGTTCCATGCGAGAGAGAGACATCTTTTAATATAGTGTTAATTATTCATTAGGTTTATTGATTACCTGCAAACTGTAGTATGTGTGTGAATTAAACTTCCCAAAAGTCCCAAATAAACAATTCATTGCTTCTTTTCAAAATGACCTTTCACTGTTCTACGCAACGATCGACAGTGATGCATATAAACATGTTCTTCGAAGTGTTTTTTTTTACTGTTCATTTGACCCCCACAAAGGTGCAGCCTTTGTGGAAAGTACTAGAGAGTAACAAAGCACAGGAAAGAAAGACGAATGCAATGGCGAGACGAACACACACCCACACACTGGCCATGCATAATGCATATCTGCTGTCTTCCGCCCCGCGGTAATCCTTACCGGAGATGTATGATGCTCGGCAGCTGTTCCACATCTCCAAGGTAGTTGGCCAGCCAGTTCATGGTGTTGCTGACACCTGACGTGTCTAAGGGCACGGAGTCTGCGGCGGTGAAGTTCTCCCTTTTGATTCTCTCGGGAGTCGCTTCAATGATGTGCTCTGCCAGAGTCATCATGTTCGCCTGTTTAGTTTGGACAGAGGGAGGGACACAACCGTGTCAATGTTTATCACTATGTACATATAGCCGAGCGACTCCCTATTCGGGAGACTGAACAGGGTCTAGGCGTGCGAGTTCAATCTCTTTGCCGATATGACAAAGTTAATAGAGTACAATTAAGACGAGTGATGCTGTTTAAAGTCCTAATCCAGCACTTCATCTGACGGAGGGGTAGTTAGCCTTAGATGGATGGCTGGATGAATTCCCTGGGCTATGGAAGGGGATCAATAGAGAGTTTATTATGCAGTGATGATCATCGACAGAGTGCCGTGTTGGCCTGGTGCATGCGGCCGGCTCAATGCCGAAGGCGGACATTAAAGGGGTCGCGTTGTGAGGTTAGCTTTCTTCACTGGTGACAATGTAATTGATATGCATTCCACTTTCCAAAATGGTGCCAATAAAATATCCATACTGCGGCCTCACTCGATAAGAGCATTGATACATAATAGGGGATCAGTTTTTTCCCCCCCATGCATCTTATCATCAGCTGCAGGAAGGCTAATATTATGTAATGTTATTTCTGTAATGCGAGCATTTTAAATCGAAAGGTCCCAATTTATTTTGAACATTTCCTATGTGGGTGTTTTGATCTCACCTGCAGGTCATCCATCTGAGTGAGACAGTCCTGGCTCTCCAGATCCTCCCGATAGGATAATAGTTCCGCATCAGCCATTTCCCTGTCGGCCATCACCAGCATGTCCAGCTGCTCCCGTTGACGCAACCGGTTCACCAGCTTCTCCTTCCCCAAGTTGCTGCTTCCGCTGACCCCCGATGACTTCCTACCCATGCCGCCGCTGGAGAAACTCTCTCTGGAGGTCCATCTGGTTGACCCCGCGCTGCCCCCCGTAGACAGGCCCTTGTCCGAGCTCAGCCCCTCTGAGGACAGGCTCCTGGGACTGGAGGACAGATTGTGGAGCTGTTGCTGCTCCAAGCTCAGAGGGACAGACGTGGCCTTGTCGGGCCGAGTCTGAAACAGTTCTGGGTTGGGTTTATGTTTTTTAGCCAGTGGGAGGTCTCTTTGGCCCTCGCTGCTGTAGTAGTTGGAGGGCTCTGACCTCGGTCTTCTCAAGTCTGCAAAAAAAAAAAAAAAAAAGTTATAATTAGCTGCATAGCTACGCTTAATTAGTGTGTAGTAAGAGACGGTTAGAAACAGAACTCTACGGGCCTGGATTGAGGCTTGTGGTGCTGGATGTGGTCGTAGTGGCAGCGGGGCCCCCTTTCTTGCCACTTGGTGTTACTCCGCTGTTGTTCGCCCAGCTGACCATCCAGCTGTCTGTGGTGGGCGTGTCGGGGGCTGGAGAGAAGGACATGCGAGGGGTGGGGGGCAGAGGGGCCGGTGGCTGCTGCTCCTCCCTTTGCAGCTGCTCCAGACATTCGGCCAATTTGGTGTGACCACGAGATCGGGCAATTGAGAGGGGTAAGCGGCCGAGAGAATCCGGGATGGCCAGGGCACGTCTGTCCCACTTGTACAGGACCACCGCCGCCTCCAGGTGACCCAGTGCACAGGCCCACATCTGGAGGGAAAACAGACAGAAAAGTCAAATAAGCAAAAGGGAATGTTAAGTCAATGGTTTACAGCGGACTGTTAAAAAAAATCAACCACAGGTAATCGTCACACACGCTAAGAATTTCTTGCTCGTGCCGCTAACGTCAGCTCTCTTACCAGGGGCGTGCAGGAGAAGTGATCTACATTGAGAGGGTCCACCTCTAACTCCAAATCAATGCTATCAGCATGTTTGGTGCTGGACAAAAGAGAGGAAACCATTAGTATCTAACAGCTGTTTAGTGGAGTCCACACATATTACAAAACCCCCGAAAGCGCCATTAGCACAGTGTGTCAAGTGCTTGGTTCTCACCGCCACTTGATGAGTGTTTGGATGAGGGTGGCGTAGCCCTGGCCTGCGGCCAGGTGGAGGAGCGTCATGCCTCTGAAGGTCTTGGAGTGGATTAAATGTTTGGACTTGGCCCAGCAAGCTCTGCTCATCATCTTCTCGCAGACCACAACGACGCGGCTCTCAAAAGAGCTGCTGGCCTGACCAGATAAACACTGAGACACACAGAAGAGCATATCGTTATTGGTCGAGGCATTTTGTCTCTCCTTAACCACAACAAAACCACACGCTTGTGTTCCGTGTAGTTACACGGAACTTTATGTGAATCGGGGAACAAAGTGAAAATGTGCTGTCGCACGCACGTCTCTACGCACAACATATGAGTGGCGGGATGTGGCTTTTTTTTTTTACCTGCGACTGGCTGTTGTTGCCTCCACCTCCTCCGCCTCCCCCTCCTCCTCCTCCTCCTCCCCCTCCTCCCCCTGTCCCTCCCCCAGCTCCGCCACTCCCTGCGCTGCTCGACTGCTGGTGGCTGGCCATCTCTGCCATCCTCCTCTCCATCTGCTCCAGGCGCTCCAGGATAGACATTCTGAACTGGTTATCTAGGCAAACAGTGGGACACAGAAGAAGAACACGTCAGCACACGAGCAGCGTTCAGCAAGCTAAAAAAAAGAAAAAACGAGAAATAAAAATGGCTGTCTTTGCAATTACCCGCACACAAACAACCCGGTGTCCTGACAAGACAAACGATCACCCAGTATGCACCACCAGCTGCACCAAATATGTTTCTCTGAGCCGCAATAAGGCTGTCGCAGTGACTTGGGGCTTAACAACATGAGGCATGCAATCAACCATTCGGGAGCGAATGCATTAGCCCATTTCCGAGATAAAGCGGAGCTTGATGGAAAGTTACTGTAATCTTCTGCGTCCAGCTGTAACATTAAAACAAATACTATAATCATAATTAATCCCCTCAGGGTGTACGTGAAAACAAGAGCATCAATCATTGACTTCATCAAAAACATTGGCTTTACTAAAGTAACCCTTAAAGCCCATCAATCATCTGCTAATGGCTGCAGTCACTGAACTCTTACAGCGATCTCTCCCACAGCACTCAATCACAGCGCGAGCTTCATTTTTAAGGGGGTAGCGGTTGGCACATGAGTGGGGGCATGTGGATTGGGTCCTCCCTCTCCAAAGGAGCTTCAAACTTGATCTGGGGGGGTTTTTGGGGGGGGGGGGGAGGGGGGGGGGTGCAGCTGCCGTCCCTCTCCAGCTGATTAAGTGCACTGTCTCTAGGTTCAAGGAGTAAATGCACCTATCCAGAGCCGTTGTTTTCCTACGACAGGATGGATGGAGGTGTATAAGAGTTCAGAGCGTTTACACGGTGCTCAGGAGGCAACATCTGCTTCGCACCCGGTGTCGTTAGTCAGTGCAGTTTTTTTTGCGGATTGTCTCTGCTCAGGTTTCTTTTCTTTGCCTTGTTGGGAATATAGAGCACACTGCATAATTCAATACATTAGTGAGGAGAGGGCAGAGCAAGGGACTTCCAAACACCGGTATTTGATTTAGTGAAACAGACAGGGGCGTAAAGGAGAAATTAGCAGACTGTGACATCTCGGGGCAAGTTGTGATTGCAACACAAAGTGCATTCGTGTAACCAGCCGTGAAACGTCAACACGCGTACAAAACTGCAATTTTTAACCTGTTGCGACACGTTCTTGTTATGATTCCAAGACACCAGCTTCATTAAGACATTTAGGGGTCCAACCAACCAACAAACACTCACTTACATACCACACAAACACTTGTGTGTGTGTGTGTGTACACAGACACACACACACACACACTACGCTGTGTACAGAGAGGGGAATGGGATGGGCACAGAGAGCCCACTGCAGCAGGGAGTATAGAAGACTGCATTAGCATTCCCCATTTAGCCACTATGAGGCCGTTTCTGTGGCAACCTGCTGCCGAGCGGTAACTAGGCGACAGGAACATGCTGTGTGTGTATGGCCTGCCTGCGAGCTATTGGCTTATTGATGGAGGGGAGGGGAAGGACTCCATATTCCAGCAGAAAAAAGAAAAAAAATTAAGAGAGAAAGGCAAACAACGGAAAAAAATTGAGTCCATAAATCGTCTTTGCTGTCCTATTGTGTACTTGACCTACTCTCAAATTCTCTGTGTTGACACCAACCCAACCCTAAAGACTCTAAGCGGGGAGCCGGCCCAGCACGACCCGGTGACATTTGCGCTTTGCGCTGTCTTGGCAGTCGCGGCTCGGGGCTCCATGGGGAGGTAATGTCAGCGATAAACCATTGTAAAAGAGGTCAAGTAACTGCTATCATTGGACAGGAAAACATAATGTCACAGGCTGGTAAATTAGTGCTGCACCGTGAATAATGCACATGGAGGACAACAGTGAGGTCCCTGTGTGAGCTGTAGACCGCTGTACTGGCCCCAAACGCTCGCTCATTAAGCAGCGCTCCTCCCGATGTGGGATCCGTCCTCACCTGTCCACACGGCGTCTTGTGGAAACAGGTGAGGCGACGGGATGAGTGCTTGTGCCAGGAGGGGAGCCAGAGGGTTGAGATAGGTCACGGCGCTACAGCCTGACTTTGTGTAAGGCTATTGTCTCCCTCTCCCTCTGGCTGACGAAGGGGTGAGGGGTACGGGTGTGGGGGGTAAGATGCGGGGGGTGTAGAGCTTGAGATGTAGAGAGAGAGGGAGAGAGAGAGAGAGAGAGAGAGAGAGGGAGTGGGAGAGGGGATAGTTAGCGGTAGGCTGACATGTCTTTGTTCAGACCCAGTGCTGCAGTGTGCTGCAGTGCAGATGATGTCATCTCCACCTGCTGCCTGCTGCTCCAAATGCGATGCACGTCCACTGCAGAGGGAGGATGGGGTAGGGACGAGTGGGAGGGAAGAGGGAGGAGACATGGAAGGTGGGCAGCCAAACAGAACCGTAACAACACTGTGATGTCGTTGACGCCCTCCCCCTCTCTCCGGTTTACTCCCTCGTGACGATCTGTGGCAGCAGACGTGGTCACTCATTAATTTAGGGCAAGCCGTGATGTGTTAATTTAAACAAACAAACAAAAATTGGGTGCAAAAATGGGGCTGACAGCCATTTATTATACAGACAACACTTGAATGGAAGTTAATCAGTCAGCGGAGGTGTAAACCTACAGCTGCCACGACACAAATATGCTGCCCAAACTAAGGCTATATCACTGTAAATAAGTGCAGTTCACTTGCTTGTGGATATCTATGATACATTGGTTACCCTTACTATTGGGGAAGTATTTCCCTGTAGAATTTAGACCCTTGCGAACCTTCAACCAAATTGAATATGAAAAATACAAAAGGAGAGAGATTACATTTCTCAAACATTTATTTAACTGAACTCATACTTACTCTGGGTTTTAATGAGGTATTATAATAGGGGAAATAATACAGTCTGGGTCTTGTATTAGGGGAACAACTGCATTGGCTAATAAGGAAACATTTTGCAGTCTTGAACTTGCCATGACCGATAACCCAAATGAGTAACTTTGTCACTTGCCTTGGGGCCGACATTCATTAGAATCAATTGCTATTTTCTTCATCATGGGACCCACCAGACACATGATCCTATCATACGGGTTAAGGAACTAGGTTGAATGGAGAAAGTCACATGTCTACTCGTCAAATGCACAGCATACGTATACGTTATAAATCGCCTGATCGTTGTGGATCTCCTTTCAAAAGGACACTCTTCCTCTGAGAGAAGTAGAGGACCAACGCAGGCACAACGTCGCAGCCTTTAACCAGATCATCTGTGTTTGTCTCTTGGACGTTGCAGGAGCTCCCCATGACAACGTTGGACGTACGGACGGATGGGCTTGGGGAGGTCAGGGCCGTTTACTGAGGAGCCTTGTGGAGGGCTAACACAGCAGTAGAGATTACGGGTAGAGAAAGAACGATGGGCAGGTTAGATGACAAGACAGGAGAGGGGTCATGCATGAAGTGAACTTCTAAGCGTGTGAGGACATCTTTCAGCCTCACACCTCCGCACGTGGTTGAGCCAATCGAGTTCAGTGCTGGACCTCATTGTCGCCCCGCGGCCGGTCGGCTTCTACAACCCAGTAGAGAGGCCCAGAGGTGACCGGCAGGGGCTGTTGTTTGGGAAGGTTCGGGTTAAGGGGCCAGGCCACCCGGCTGCAGCTCTCAGCAGCTGGAACACATGACTGTCTATTGATCAAAGGCCGACTTCACGTTCACGACGCACAATGAGTGGTATTCCATATTTTTCTTCTTTTCTTCTTCTTATGTTAGCAGAGCGATAACATGCAACAGGGGGGATCTTTCTTTTCTGCAATCGGTCGTTTTGACAACCAATCAATCCATCTATCCATCCATCTGCTGTGTGGCTCATCCTGTTCAGGGTCATGCGGCGGCGGTGAGCGGCCGGTCGTCAATCAAGCCACACACTTGCAAACTTTTTCACCTTCGCACCAGAGGGCAATTTTTTGTGTTTTTGCGAGAAAGCAAATAAAAAGACTATTTCAGATCCATACTGTAGAGGGATGTACTTGAGATGTTTGGCCATTAGATTGCTCTAAGACAAAATTGCTGTTTTGTCATTTTTTGTATGCCCTGTTCCTGCAACCATGTGGGCTACGGTTCTTATAGCTTTACCGGTCTTGCATGCAACAACATCATCAGGTGGACCACATTGCACTTTACTATGTCCCATTGGTAAAACGGTTTATTTTACCGCCATACGCGGACGTTTAATGACCACAAACGGTCACAAGGCTCATACTTTTCTATTGTGCCATGAAGGTGAAGCAGCTCTTTACCTGCTGGCGTTCGTCCAGCTGTTTAGGTCAATATGAGTTCAGTCTGAGCACTGAGTAGATACATTGTGTCATATTGAAGGGTGAAATGCCAAGAGTGTTCACCATGGGGATTTACCGTCATCCACTATCACACTAACAGAGTAACACACTGTTGGTTTTGTTCCTCGGAAAAAAAGTAGAGATGTTAAACTTCTATTTATAGACGGACGACGCAGTAACATGTGCATTGTTAGATACCTATTTGCATAAACAACCTAAATACTGCTTGACACGTCTCATTGAGGCAGGGGAGCAAATGAGACACATGTGGAGAAATCATTTCCAAAGATGAATCAATCTGATATAAAACAGCACAACCCAAGGGATGGGACGTCTCCAAAGCTTTCCATTAATAGTGAGACAACACAGTTAGCCTCAATACATTCTCAGGATTTCTCAGCCTGAATTTAATAAGCATAAGTTTAAAAGATAACTTATAGCATAACATAAAATTAGCACTTTCCTCAGATGTTCAATAGGCTCAGAATATAACAAAATGTATGATCTCTTTGTGCTAACTAGGCAGACTGGAGTCTGTTAACACAAAGGTGCACAATTTTATGCATAATTCAAATCCCAGCATGGACAACACAATACAATGTAAACCACAAACTATTGCTATTTTTTACCAAAGGCTTTATTGGACACCGTTTGGACAGTCCCATCACAAACGACTGTACACGTGACACTGCGAGCCTTCAAGGCATGATTATTAATCTATCT